TTGAACCATATGTTGGTCCCGAAATGACCTAGTTTGTGTCGAGTAGAGTTAAACCCCATTTCTCTCTCTCTCTCTCTGTCATTGAGTCATCTCCCACTGCTAAAGACCCCCACGTGCAACCGAATAATTGAAATAAAATTAAACCATATATGTTAGGCCCAAAATTACCTAGTTTGTTTGGAGTGATGGTCAAACCCCCTCTCTCTCTCTCTCTCTCTCCCCCCCTCTCTCCAGTGCATCAGATCTGAGTCAAACCAGGTACATAATACCAAATCAAACATGCATGTACATAGTATAGTTTTACCACAGTCGAGGAGCCACGGTGGCTAAGTGGGTAGGATGCTGGCTTGCTAGCCAGGAAGCCGCGTGTTCGATCCCTGCATTTGCCAAGATAGTTCATCAGGATTTTCCGATGTGGTTTTCCCTTGTCAGTGGTGCAATAAGGTGGGTCTGATAAGGACAGCTGTTTAGTTGTTCGGTAAATTTCTCTCAGCACACTGCATGGCGTATGTCTGTCTTCATTAACCCAGTATAGGAGCAGAACATTAGGACGTTAAATCCCATTTCATTTCATTTACGACAGTCAAGTGCACAATGAATTAAGTCAAGCCAGGTACCGTATCAAACTTCTACATCAGTATTTAACGATTAATAGCGCCATTGTCTTCCGTGTTTTATTGTGTATATGACATAACCATAGCAACACAATGTTAGGCAATAAATGTATTCAATATAGTTCAAGTTGCCCCAGGCGAAAATATATATTTAATCAATTTCTAATTATATTAGGCTGCTATGTAACTTCTGATTTGACAGTGTTATTGTTGTGGGCGTCGGCTGTCTCAGGTATGTCAACAGTAGCCATTGACTGTTAATGTTAGATACCTATACCTGTATTTACCTGTATCCAGGTATTGTGATACTGTTTCCAGTAACTAACTACTGAATTATCTCATAGTGAAATGTGAAATGTTTTGTGCTCCAAGGTTGGAATATTTGATTTCTGTTAACGCGATTGTGTTGACCGACTGATTGATTGATTGATTTCGGGTTTTCACCTGTGTGATTTACTTGATCTTGAGTAGTATCTATATGTAATATATCACTCTCACCTGGAGAAAAACTAAATAATATATGGCAGGAGGTAGAATTCTTGATCAAATATATTTCATATCACTGGAATCAGAAGGAGTATAACAATATGAAAGTGAGGAATTCCTACTGAATTCTGGAAAAATAAATGCTGGAGGAAAACTTTTAAGTACTGTATTATATGGCATAACCAAGTCTGTTGAATCAATTCCTAAATGATCTATACATGTAGATACAATGTAGATGCTGGAGGAAAAGTAGTAGGACATCGAACTGAGGTATTCCCTTGAACTCTGGAAAAACAAATAATGTACCTGAAGAGCTGCAAGAGGGGAAAACACTAAATACTGTATTATACAGCCTTCAAGAGAAATCATTCTACGTCAACTTTTATTTCTTAAAGGCAATGAAATGAAATGAAACAGAGTTTAACGTCCTACTGTTCTGCTCCGAGCTGGGCTAATGAAGACGGGCATACGCCATACAGTGTGCTATAAGGAATATTTGGCCCGGACAGCGGCACTACGACATACTCTTATATCGAATTCCAACTGTCAAAGGATCTTTTACGTGCACGCCAAATGTGTACACAGTACCTCGGTTTTTCGTCCCATCAGAACGACTAGACAGTTGTTTTTTTCAGGCCCTCCATCCTGCATCACTGACAAGGGGGAACCATGCCAGAAAATCTGGGTGAACTTTCTCGGCCAATGCAGAGATCAAAATTTCTTAAAGGATCTATGGATTAAATACTGGGGGAATTGTGAAAACTAGCAGAACTTCAAAGTGAAGGATTACTCAAATTCTGGATTCATAGATTTTATGTTAATATACTAGGAGAGCCAGATTAAGCTTGCATGGGTCCCCTGGATAAAAATGTCACTAAGGTCCTTTCATTAACAGTTAAAATAGGGCATATTATTAGGTGCCCTTTTAATATTGGGGTCCCTGGTTGCAGCCCAATCAATCTCGCCTTTAATCCAGTCCTGAGTATAGGGGTGTTTAATAGAAAAGTTACAGAAAACTGAGTAGGAGGAAGGAGGAAGTTAGTGGTGCTGGACTGAGGGTCTGGCAAAGGACAACGGATGGGATGAAAATCTGTGGTCCTGTGTGCACGGGTAAAAGAATCCTTGGCAGTTGGAATTCGATATAAGAGTGGGCCATAGCACCGCTGTCTGGGTAAAATTTCCCTCATAGCACACCGTATGGCGTATGCCGGTCTTCATTAGCCCAGTTCGGAGCAGAACAGTAGTGCGTTAAACCCCATTTCATTTCATAGGTTTGTGATGGTCTAGTGTAAGGAGATTCCTCGGGTGTACGTGACAAGGAGTAGGGTCATCTGTCCAATCGCGTGGGATTTCTCCGGTTTCCTCTCACTGCTAAAGATCCCTGTTTGTCAGTGAATAGTTGAAATAAAATTGAACCATATGTTAGTCCCGAAATGACCTAGTTTGTGTCAAGTCAATGTTAAACCTCTCTCTCTCTCTCTCACTCTCTCTCTCTCTCTCTCACTCTCTCTCTCTCTCTCTCTCTCAAGGAACACTAGTTTTGGGTGTTCCAAGTAAAGACGTGTCATTGTTAATTGATAGTGAATTGATTTACACCTGATTTATAGATCTATAAAACACACTTTCACGTTAAAATCTTTATAAAATACCTGAATAGTGTACCTGGCTTGGACATTATTATTAGTTACTTGTCACAACTTGTAATGTAACCATGTCATCAAGAGAGATCAAGTATTAAAATAGCCATGAGTTGTATAATTTATAACATCTGATAAAGTTAACGATACTGTTGCTAGAATATAACTGATAATATTATTTATAATCCAATCTGATTTGTACGGAAATGCATTAACGTGAACAATATTAAAGACTTGACATTCAAACCCCCCAAAAAATCTAAAGCAAACTACGTATACATACAGAGAGAGAGATGGGGTTTAACGTCCACTCGACACAAACTAGGTCATTTCGGGACTAACACATGGTTCAATTTTATTTCAATAATTCGCTTGTGCATAGGGGTGTTTAGCAGTGGGAGGAAATCGGAGGACCCAGAGAAAATCCACGAGGTTGGACAGGCGACCCTACTCCTTGTCACGTACAACCGGGGAATCGAAACCATGCCAGTTGACTCAATGACAGACTTTATGATACAGCGCGCACATGCTAACTAGAACCCAAACCAAACTACATATACATGCAAACAAACAAAAAGCCATATAAAACTTGAATGCCCATATACATGTTACGCATAACCAAAAGGTAAAAATATATAAGTATTATGTGTATAGAACATTGGCTGTACCTGAGGAACAAAAAGTATTTGGCCTAAGTGTTAGGTGTATACTATTAGTCTACATGTATAGTCACATGGTATACAAAATACCACAATCTTGAATAGATATAATATATAGGTATTGAAATATATGAATTAGAATAAATATATATACATGTATATATATATAAAATCAAATAATGTTTCTAAGTACAGGATCTGTTTTTCCAGAGTTCACGGGAATCCTTCAACAATAAAACGTTTTCTAGTGACTATTTCAATAAATTAATGTTCTCATCAACTAGTGATAAATGTGCTGTTTATTAAAACTGATGTGATAATCGTTTATAGAGTCTAGTGAGGATTAAATTTGGATCAATAATACGTATACAGTGTGCTTGATATTGGTTAACTTAACAGTAAAAATGTATTTTAGAAGTACGTATTTTTCACAATATTATTTGATTACAAATTTTTATACAATCAATAATACGTATTCAGTGTGGTTGATATTGGTGAACTTGTCAGTAAAAATGTATTTTAGAAGTACGTTTTATTCACAATATTATTTGATTACAACCTTTTTTGCAATCAATAATTAATTACCCTAATTCAACACAAAATATAAAAAAAACATGTGAAATCTCATCGCTGAGGGCAGTGATTGTGTTGGAAGAGTTATTGTCTAGATAACACAGTTTTGGTGTCATCAGTTAGTATGATGGTCGGGTGTGCAGTTGGGTGGCTGGGGGTCAGAGAGAGATGGGGGGGGTAGTGTGGACTAAAGTGTTGTGTCATAGTTTTGTTTTTATCGGTTATCGCGGATGGGTGGGAGGTGGGGGAGTCTTGTAGCATAAAGTGATGCTCTAGACACGACAACTTCAATAGTAGACTTGATCTCGCTTTAACTCCGTATATCTTATCAAGCACTTCACATAACACCCTGTTAATTTTGGCACTAATTTCCATTGGGTATTCATACCAAGTCTCACGCTTTCAAGCTAAAATGTCTACCTGCGATAATCGAGTTGCAAATTTCAAGTTTTGTTCAGTGTCAAGGTATCCGTGGAGGTCTCTATTGCACAACCTCTGATTGGAGCCTACTGTTCATGTGTCAGCAGATATGTTCAGGAATTGTAAAGTAATGTAGCAACGTCCAGATGTTGCTTCAGGAACATGTAGACACTATATTTATTTTTCTATGCAGTTATTGGTAAAAGAGTCTTTTGGTAGTTAAAATTTCTTGAATAGTGGATATAAATGCCACTGTCCTGGTCAAGATTACCGGTACAATCATACATGTAGCACACTACATGGCACATACATGTAGCACACTACATGGCACATACATGTAGCACACTGCATGGCACATACATGTAGCACACTGCATGGCACATACATGTAGCACACTGCATGGCACATACAAGTAGCACACTGCATGCCACAAATATGTAGCACACTGCATGCCACATACATGTAGCACACTGCATGGCACATACATGTAGCACACTATATGGCACATACATGTAGCACACTACATGGCACATACATGTCTTCATTAGCCTAGTGGGTGTAGAAAAATAAAATGTTAAACCCCATTTCATTTCATTTATTTTTATTTCCAGGAATGGCGGTATCGCCACAACCACCTCCACCAGAAGAATTAATCTATCCACCCGTTGGTCAGAATATGGATACGTCTCCGTTAGTATCTGGTAATATTCAACCAATTGGATTCGAAGATCAAGGTATGGTTTAATATAATACACCTCATTTATTATACAAACATTGATTCAATTTGTTTCATTTTGTATTTTCTGTTATTTTCAATATTCTTAGTCCTGAAATTTAAGGCACCAGGCACAAATTCTGGCTTTGTCAGAAGGTGTGGAAGGAATGTCTGATATCAGGTAGTTGTGCTGTTTTAGCAGGTGTTTCTGTATTTATTGCTTAGTTTCAAACCATTGTACATCTCGTTGAAGTAGGAACCCAATAGTTTTCTATGATTCTCAACGAATTGGAACAAATTGCCAACAATTGTTTGAAACTAAGCATTAAATACAGCAACAGCACAACTGCTCGATACCCAAGTAGAGTTACCCCCCTTGGCAGGAGCTGCTGTATTTATTGCTTAGTTTCAATCAAACCATTGTACATCTCGTTGGAGTAGGAACCCAATAGTTTTCTATGATCCTCAACAAATTGGAACACTTTGCCAACAATTGTTTGAAACAAAAGATTAAATGCAGAAGCTCCTGGTAAAACATCGAAACTACCTATTTACTACCCAATATTTTGGACATTATGCAGGATTAGAATTATCAGTAGAAACAGTGCAATGAGACAAATCCGTACCTGATGAAGCCAGAATATTTTGTCTGTTTGTCATTTTGTTCCTCACAGATTTAGTTATATTTTTGATTCAAGTCTGGCCAAACGTTCCAATTGTCAGGTAGCTCAAACACTGAGTTCCTGAGATTTTGTCATGTTGCTCAAACGTTCTAAAATCATTATTACCAGACCTGGTTCATTTTGAATGTATGGCATTCATATATGTGATAAAAATTCTAAATTTGTATATCTGATTCTGTTTGTCTTGTTGTTCTGTATAATTTGCAGATCAACAGCCTTGGTCACCAAGGTGTCCAATTTAAGTATTATGTTAAATCGGATGTCTTGGTGACCTGCATGCATTGACTGTGTGTAGACCTATGTGTAGGCAATGACTGTGTGTAGGCCTATGTGAAGGTAATGGTTAGCGTGCGCGCGCTGTATTATAAAGTCTGTCATTGAGTTGACTGGCGTGGTTTTCAAATCCCTGGTTGTATGTGACAAGGATTAGGGTCGCCTGTCTAACCTCGTGGGTTTTCTCCAGGTCCACCGGTTTCCTCCCACTGCTAAAGACCCCTACGCGCAAGCAAATTATTGAAATAAAATTAAAACCATATGTTAGTCCCGAAATGACCTAGTTTGTGTCGAGTGGACGTTAAACCCCATTTCTCTCTCTCTCTCTATGTGTAGGTAATGACTGTGCATAGGCCGATGTGTAGGCAATGACTGTCTTATGACTGAGTAGGCCTACAATGTATGTCTATAATCAATGAATATTACAAAGTATGCAATCAATTGTTACTCCCTACATGTATTATTTAATAATTTTTTTTTTTCAGATTTGTATAGGATATGTACAATATATTATATGATTTCTATGATAAAAAAAAAATGGTTTCTATGTTAAAAATACATAATTTCTATGATAAAAATACATAATTTCTATGATAAAAATACATAATTTCTCTGGTAATGAACCATTATGTGGTAATACATAATTTCTATAACGAAATGCAGTTTCTTCACATAATAAAAATACATGACTAATACACATGTACATGTGATTATAAGTTGATATATCCTGGTTGATAAGGTTAAAGGTCAAGTATACAAATATAAACAATGTATACTTTTTATAGATGGTCAGGCTAATATAAAGTATACATTGTGTACCATAGGCTGATAAACAAAGAGGAGAATGTTTAACTTTAGCTTTAGTTATTTTCTAATGAGTCAGAAGGGGTGGAGTGGTTTAAACATCTGCATGTTACATCATAAGGTCTGTCCTTGAGTTATGTGGCTTGGTTTTGATTCCTCGCTTGTATGTGACAAAGTGTAGGGGGTGCCTGTCCAACCTTGTGGGAGTTTTCTGGGCTTTCTCTAGGTCCTCCAGTTTCTTCCCACTGCTAATTACAAATACATGTAACCCTATGCGCAAATGAATTATTAAAATAAAATTGAACCATACTGTATGTCAGTCCCAAAATGACCTAGTTTGTATCGAGGAATGTTAAACCCCATTTCTCCCACTCTCTCATATAAATGTTAAATAATTAATTTGAGTAGATTTTTAAGAGTAGAGTAAACAAGAAATAAATCTGTCTAATGCAGGTCTTTCTTTAGGCCTGAAATATTACATAAATTATTAATTAGATATTAATTAACTTATCCAGATCTTGATGTCATTGCTAGTCTTCGATATTTACTGGATTTGAACCCTATCTGCTGCTCAATGCTCATTCATAATTAAATCCAAAAATAGATAATCGAGATTGTATTGACTTTAGTAATGATGATCGAGGCTAGGCCTAAATTTCAAATTTGACTGAAATTTTCAGCATAATCGCTTTATATTATCTAGTTTTTAACTATTAGATTGAGAATTGCCAGCTCTTTATCTAATCTTCCATAATGCTCTTTAAGTCGTGAAAAATTAGAGATTGCTAGAAAACGCACGATGGAGATTGTTGACTATTAAGCCATCCTATTATATTGCGATTATAGTATGCATGTTTTACGTGTGAACGTGTGCTATCTGATAATTAACGGCCTAGTCACACGTTACGGACGGTACTACCATTTATTGATTGAAAGAATCTCCCTGATGACTTCTGATGAGAACATTTGCTATCCATTTGATTTCATGATTGGCATTTGCGATTGCTTCTATATTAGTGGGCTAGCTAGGAAATGTTGGATGAGCAGTAAAGTGTCCCAAGAGAACTCTAAAAGATGCATTATGTAAGATTTAGATAAAGAGCTGGTCGTTCTTGATAAATGTATGGGGGGTTGGATGGCTGAATGGTTAGCGTGTGCACGCTGTATCATAAAGTCTGTCATTGAGTCAACTGGTGTGGTTTCGAATCCCCGGTTGTAAGTGACAAGGAGTAGGGTCGCCTGTCCAACCTCGTGGGTTTTCTCCGGGTCCTCCGGTTTCCTCACACTGCTAAAGACCCCTACACGCAAGCAAATTTTTGAAATGAAATTAAAAACCATGTTAGTCCCGAAATGACCTAGTTTGTGTCGAGTGGATGTTAAACTCCATTTCTCTCTCTCTCTGATAAATGTATAATAGCTCAAAAATAGATAATGCAAAATGAATATATTAAAAAAAAATATCAGTCAAATTACTATTGTAAGCATTTTAAGTTTTGACAATATCTGGTTTAGATTGTTCATTATCGTAGCAACGGAACTTGGCAACCAAGGCTTAGTCTTGATTATCCAATTTATTGTTAAATTTTAAAATCTTGCATGTGTTTTAATCCGTTCAAATCTCAGCCATCCGATGATCTAGAGAATTGATTAACGGTTTGTCTAATTAATAAGTTATATACATGTAAAATTTAAGGCTTAAAGAAAGACCTGCAGTAGGCAGATTTACATTTGTAGCTCTTACATAATGCATCTTAGCACACTGTATTGCGTATCCCCGTCTTCATTAGCCCAGTTTGGAGCAGAACAGTACAGTAGGATGTTAAACCCCATTTCATTTCATTTCATTTCATTTCATTACATAATGCATCTTTAAAAAAATGATATGGTAAAATATGAGAGTTTTCCCCGGAGGGTTTAACGTCTGACTATCTGCTATTAGGGAATTGTTTGCTACTCTTTTTTCCTATATTCTGTCAAGATATCTTTTTTGTCCCAGAATAATAGATATTAATACAGACATCAGTATATATTGTAGATAATATAAATAACTCTTGGTAAAGTCTAATGTTCAATGGTGGACAACTGCATTACTAAGTAAAGACAGAACAAACAATACAGGTGGCTTAGCAAGAAACAGCATATAGTCATTCGAATGGGACAAAAAAAAAACAACCTGGGTCAACCCAAATCATCTTATTTATACTTGTGTCCAGTTTAAGGCTAACTGATTGATTTGATAATGAGTGTCCAATTTACAAGTATTTAATTTCTTGACCACTGTTCAAAAATTAATCATTATAGATCAATAATCATTTGGGTTGGGTTTTTTTTAACAGTGATCAAGAAATCAAACACTTGTAAATTGGACATTCATTATCAAAATTTAATGGTCAACTTTAAGTTGGACACAAGTACAAATCGGATGATTTTTGGCGATTTTAAATGATTTTTACAAATTTTTAAGCAAAGATTTGATATTAAAAGAATGTGAAAGAAATTAGTGCTAAATACATAAGATTAAATGATACCCGGATTATAGTGCATGGTGGACTGAAAATTCTTCTCAAAAGGACTGTTAATGAGTGAATTGGCATGGTTTCCATTCCCAAGATTCCCTGCTAGTGGAGGATAACCCCATCTCTCTCTCTGGACATAACTCACCAGATCTATGTAGGATAAGAAAATATAAATTTTAAGGCATCCTTCGTAACCTGGACATACATCTACATGTATGTGAATACTACCTGTACTTTTGTTATGATGTCAGTATAACCCTAATATAAATCTTGAGTCTAACAAATGATTGCAGACAGTCTATAAAATCATCAGCGTAATGTAATATCGTGTGAGGTTGTCGTTAAAAATAGAATCACAAAAAATCTTGAATGAATAGGCATAGTTTAAATTCTCTATTGTGGGAAGAGAAAGGGAGAGAGAAAATGGGTTCATCATCCACTCAACACAAACTAGATCATTTTGGGACTAACATTTTATTTTAATAATTCACTTGTGCATAGGGGTCTTTTAGTAGTGTGAGGAAACCGGAGGACTTGCAGAAAACTCGCCAGGATGGCACAGTCAACCCCACTTCTTGTCACTTACAAATTCTACATATGACTAAATAAATGGTCTCTCTTAGTCTCTATCATCCAGAAAATATTCTACGAATATTAGTCTGGATGCCTTGTCAACATTTGAGAATAATGAGTCATTGACTAGATTATCTGGTCTTTTACATTATCATAGACAAAGTCTAAGGGAGGTAATTAGTCCTCAAACAAGATGTTGACGCCCATGAAATTAATTCAAGAATGTCATTTCAAAAAATCCATTTGATTGCATTCCCAGTTTAATATGAAACACTCTTAATTTTTTTTTTATTGTAAAATTTCTCTCTTAATGGGCCATATATATACATGTACGTTTTTTTTTTAAATTAATCCTTATTCGTTGTCACATTCATGTTTATATTAATGCAAGAATTATGGGATATTTTTGCGGGAAGGGGCGCAACTCTTACTTGTCTTGGCCAAAGAAACAGCCCGTTTTGGTCAAAGGACTTTTTCCTACTCGTCCCGAACAGAGTGGAATGATCTGCCACTGGAAATAAAGAACTCTCCAGATATTGCTGTGTTTAGATCCAGACTAAAAACCTTTTTGTTTAAAGGCTCAATACCACTCTTGTTGTAACTGAATAATATGTCCCAATCTTTATTCTGGTCAACAAAATGTACTATTTTACAACATTCCAAGTAATTGATGATACAAATTTCATCTTAACCCACCTTATTTAAAAATTTTGAAAAATTCAACATAATGGTTTGAAACGTCTAACATAAACCTTTTCAAATGAAACTTCGATTTAAAAATATTTTCGAACCCTCTGGACAAGTAAAATAGGATGTAATGGATAATTTACACAACAGGTAGGACACTTAAACGTCTAGTACTTAGATAGAGATATTATTTATTTTCTGGAGCTTTCAAGACAGCAAGAGTGTTATTGTCCCTTTAAGAAAGCATTCACTTTATGACAGTTGTGATCATTTTTGAACTGCGCTTTGAGCATGCTCATGCATGGATATAGCGCAATATAAATAGACAATTATAATCAACCACATTAAAAATCAAACTCTCGGTTACGCAAGAGCAATGGACTTTTCGTCAAATATTGACAACAGTTCCCGAGACCCTCCATCCGCTGAAGATTAAGAGGTTCTGGGTGACCAAGACTATATCTCTCTATGCATGTTGTTTGATATCTATGTTTATAATTTAATTCAGTCAATCCAGCATTTCGAGATGATGTTCCTTCTCAACGAGGTATAATATTCATAACAAGTACACGCTGCAAAACAACATAAATAGCTTCTATTTTTAAACACGCTATTTTCAATTTGTTAGTTTTATTAAATCTGTCAGTTTTATTTTTACACATCTACTTTCATTTTGTTAAAACAACATAAATGGCTTCTATTTATACATAATGCTACTTTCAATTTGTTACTTTTAATAAATCTATTAGTTTTATTTTTACACATCTACTTTCATTTTGTTAATCTAATGGTTTTTATTTTATACATACTAGGTAACACTACTTTCATTTTCTTTCAGCTTTTATCTAAATATACATACTCCTTTAATGTTTTGATTTTTTTTTCTGCTCAGAAAATATTTGAACAAGATGTGACATTTGACTGAACTTGATAAATTCATTTTATCACTTGCTTAAAGCACAAATATATGTTTGGGCCTGCATTGTAATTGAGTTTATAACGCATATAGGGCAATTATCCAAATAATTCTGACACTTTCCTGACCTCCGATAGATGCACTTTTAGCTATAAATAGAATTCTTTAAAATATAGCCGTCAGGGGTTGAGGAAAAGTAAGAACAATTTGAAAACATGCATGCAGACGCACGTGTAGCCTATCTAGCTTTTAAAGTGGATAGTGTTATTGTCCCCCGCCTTTCGAAGAAAGCAGGGGACTATTAAAATGGGTTCGTCCGTCTGTCTGTCCGTCTGTCTGTCCGTCACACTTTTGGGACACAATAACTCTCTTCCTAATTGAGCTAGAATGTTCAAACTTGGTGTATGTGTTTATTAGGTCAATGCCTTGATGGAGTTGGAAGATGAGCATTTTCCGCTTAGGGTAAGCAGAGATAAGCAATTTGATTGGTTGATGCTTTGGGACACGATAACTCTCTTCCTAATTGGGCTAGAATGTTCAAACTTGGTGTATGTGTTGATTAGGTCAATGCCTTGTTCTAATTGGGCTAGAATGTTCAAACTTGGTGTAGGTGTTTATTAGGTCAATGCCTTGATGGAGTTCGAAGATGAGCATTTTCTGCTTAGGGTAAGCAGCGATAAGCAATTTGATTGGTTGATGCTTTGGGACACGATAACTTGAGTTCTAATTAAGTGAGAGTGATGAAACTTGGTGTATAGTTTTATTACATCAATACCTTGACTAAGTTCGATAATAAGCATTTTCTGCTTATGGGTACGCAGAGCGATAAGCAATTTGATTGGGTGAGACTTTGGAACACATTAACTCTCCTTCTAATTGAGCTAGAATGTTCAAACTTGGTGTAGGTGTTTATTAGGTGAATGCCTTGATAGAGTTCGAAGATGAGCATTTTCTGCTAAGGGTAAGCAGAGATAAGCAATTTGATTGGTCGATGCTTTGGGACACGATAACTTTAGTTCTAATTAAGTGAGAGTGGGGACACTTAGTGTATAGGTTTATCTCATCAATACCTTGAGTAAGTTCCATAAATAAGCATTTTCTGCTTATGGGTAAGCAGACCGATAAGCAATTTGATTGGTCGAGACTTTGGAACACAACTCTCCTTCTAATTGAGGAAGAATGTTCATACTCGGTGTAGGCATTCATTAGGTGAATGTCTTGATGGAGTTCGATGATAAAGCTTGTCTGCTTACGGTCAGCAGAGATAATCAATCTGATTGGTTGATAACTTTGGTTTTAATTAAGTGAGAGTGATGAAACTCTGAGTATAGATTCGTTATATCATTACCTTGACTAAGTTTGTTAATGAGAATTTTCTGCTTAGGCTAAGGATCGATAACTTTGATTCTATATGATAGAGAGTGATCAAACTTAGTGTATAGGTGATAATTTGTTTGATTGCTTGATACTTTTGAAAAAAAATAAATGTGCTATTAATGAATATGTGTCATCTATTTATTTTGGGATTTCGGCGGGGGACATCAGCCTCACTGTTGGCTTGTTATGTCTGCTTTTGTTAACACAATTTTTCAGAATTTATGTTATATACAAGTATTTTCAAATGTTTTCTGTGTCTGTCTTTATAAATTTGTTCATTTTAATTTAAGTTTTTTTTTGTTTTCAACTTTTTCTCTTATCTTTTATCATAATTTATTTGGGTTATTTTCTTTTTTTTACCATTTCTTATTAAGGTCAATTATTTTCTATTAACACCCCTTTTTATACAACTCACATTGAATTGTTGCCTGGCTATACACCCACATTGAATTGTTGCCTGGCAACCGCTGGCTATACACCCTGGCTATACACCCACATTGAATTGTTGCCTGGCAACCGCTGGCTATACACTCACATTGAATTGTATATATTGCCGTCGTCACTATTGGTCAATCCATCCATCGTCAACAGTTTCTTATGAATGCTCTATCATAGACTATATCCATCATCCACTCTTTATTAAATTTTTATGTGTCATTTAACCTATCCTTTTTATACACCCACATTGAAATGTGGTCATAGATTGTCGTTGCCTCCGTCCGTCAGTCCAGTGTCCACAATTGCTTGTGGACGCTCTAGAGGCAGCAGTTAATATCCAATTGAATTTAAACTTATACACTGTGTTTAAGGTCATGAGACAAAGAATCCTATTGATTTTTAACGATATCTGATAATTACTACCCGAGTTATGGCCCTTGATCACTTTGTAATATCTTGTGGGTGTTTTAGATTCTAAAGCTATCATCCGATTGACTTTAGATTGATAAACAGAGTTTAAGGTCTTGAAACGAACAAGTTTATTGATTTCCAATGAATTTAGATAACTTGAACAGCTAAATCTATGATATTAAATGTTTTGTATTCTAAACATTAGCATGGGGCAGAACTAAAAGCGAAACAATTTCTAATGATTTTCAGATAATTACTTAATGAGTTGTTACTCTTAATGAGATTTTAGTTTATTATAAATGTTTCATTACCAACAATAGAACAAATATGCGACAAATCTTGTTGACTGCTCGGATGACTTAGCTGCTGTGTGCAGATGTTTCATTGCCTGGCAACCTATCTTTATTAACTGTCAGAGTTATTCCCTCTTAATTTGTCACTCATGTGAACAACCCTTCCACAATGAAACAGATCAGCTGATATGTTTGAGATTTATACTTTTATGCATTACTTATGGGATTAGAATCCGATCTGCTGCTCTATGCTCATTTATGATTAAATCAAGAAATAGATAATCAAGACTATCTCTTTTTATCATATTGACTTTAGTAATGATGATCGAGGCAAGGCCGAAAATTCAATCATTTAATTCTTGGTTCATAGTGGATGAATTTGACTGAAATTTTCATCAAATTGCCTTTACATTATGTAGTTTTTAACTATTATAGTGAGAATTAACTGCCAGCTCTTTATCTAATCTCCAATAATGTATCTTTAACAATTTGACACTAATCGTTATAAACTACTCATACGACAGGCTTTGTTGTGGGTGTATGTTGTGTTACCTGGCAACTCATATACTTGACACAAGTATAGTGAAATCTAATACAGTGTTTCCTGGTTAGATCTAAATATTAAGGCCACTTCCCGATTTACGCGATGTTAACAGGACTAGCGCTACTTCCAGCTTTCGTCAAGGTCACAACATGTAGCGCTAACCCTAGCCCTAACCTTACCCTAACCTTACCCTAACCCTACCCCACAATCCTGGCCAACACTCACGTATCCTGGCCCTGTTTACCTCCCGTAACCCCGACGTAATCTAGAGTAGGCCTTAATATTTAGATCTGAGTGACCAGTATTTCATATAGAACTAGCAACAATCTTTTCAATACAAAGAGATTACATAGCTTATTTAAACATGTAGATAGAAATACAGATCTATATTTCGTTTCGTTGATTTTATACTTTCGATGGCCTACACTACATAAAGATCTGACAAGTTGTAGCGATAGGTCGCGTCAGAGGTCATACAAGAGGCTTTTGGCCTTATGATGTCAGACATTTGATTAAGCTGGCTCCCCAGTCATATGGATATCAAAGGGAACGATCAAGCAGACTCGGCTGCCAAGTCTGCTTTAGATCTTCCCGTATCTGAATTTTATATACCTTTTAAGGATTTTAAATCCATTATAAATACATTTATTTATGGCCGTTGGCAACAGTCTTGGGATCTTGCAGGCACAAACAAACTTCATCACGTTAAGCCTCTCTTAGGAGACTGGCCAAGCTCCTATAGAACCAACAGGAGAGATGAGGTTGTTTTGTGTCGCTCTCGCATAGGCCATACATTTTTAACACATTTTTTCATCTTAAAGCGAGAGCCTCAACCAGAATGTGAACATTGTCATGTTCCCTTGACAGTGAAGCACATTTTGATTGAGTGTAATCATCTCAAGAATACAAGATCACGGTATTATCGTTGCCAGTCACTACATCACTTATTTGCCCAGCCCGGGCTATATTGCGAAATGCTAAACTTTTTAAAAGAGACAGGTTTTTATTATAAATTTTAATTTGTTTATAATATATATATATATGTAATATTTATTGTTTATATGCATAAAAGATTGTTTTTATTTTTAAATTTGATAAAACTGTGATATTGTTTTTATTTATGCATATAAAATTTTTGTGATATGATTTAGCTTGTCTCAAAGAATCATTATTATGTTTGGCGCAATATAGCCCTGTTGGAGCTGACGTGCCATAAAACCACATTTCATTTCATTTCATTTCATTTACATTTGATTAATCAATCAGCATTGATGTTACTAGTGGATTACCAACAGTTCCATGCAAAACACACCTAAAGCTTGTCATAACAGACCGTTTCATTGGCTAATTCCTCACACCATTCAGAACACGTCAATGATAACAACTCTTCTAGATCCTAGTGTAGTAAAGACCAAACGAAAATTTGAAGTATAAAAACGAAACGAAATAGGATCTGTGTTTGAATCAGATTGGGACACCGTCTTTAATAGAGTTATTAAACATAATATACAATGTGGATGAACAGCACTTAGAAATACATAGACATAATATAGCGCTTTATAAGATTATTATTATTATTATTACCAATACATACAAATTAGCTTGCAAACAAACACATTGATACACTTCACTGTACACTCTTTAAATCTTATATAATAATTAATTCATTAAGTTGTTTTATAGTTAATTAATTGATTTTTTTTTTAATTTTTACATTCTAATTTATTTATTTTATATATATATTTCACAGCATAAACATTGAATTGTATTTAATACTTAGGTCATTATGTTATTTTTATTTATTCATTTTCCCAATAAACAGTAAATATTATTAATTAGTTCATTTATAAGGTGTTTCATTTAATCAATCAATTGATTTTTATAGATTATTGATTAATACCAATACATTTATAGTTGATAAATCACAGTTACATACTTATATGTATCAGAAAAAAAATACATCCATGTTTGATATAGAAATATTTTTATTTTAATTCATAGCTAAGGGTCATGTTTCATTTTCTGGTGTTTCCAGCCGAGGTAATTTTTAACGGGATGTCTTTAATCTTGTCTCCTCTCCTTCAAAGACTTTTATCTCTGATAACACAGAGTTTTAGTTTAATGAAATATAACTCGAACCTTTTAGTTAGAGATATCGGATTATATTTCAGCCTTTTAATTCATTCATAGCTAGCATTAAAGAAAATTTACATGTAGCTTGCTCTTTTCTCAGATTAGAATTAATATTTGTCACAATATTTATATTGATATTTAGTTAGAAATCAGACATTATTCTTAGCTTTTCACTGTATTTACAACAAGCCATTATAGGCCTATTTAATGCTGAATATATGTAGTTAGAAATCAAAGATTATTGTAAATTTTCAGCCAACAAATCAGAATTCAGAATGTCATACGGTACATGAAACATGTAACACTTAACTTTTAAAGGACAATATTGGTGTCAGTCATAATTACATATGTGATAGAACTTGTTAAATACATTCCAAAAATAATTTTAACACAGAGATATGCTACTGGAGATGTGTTACAACTTTTCATCTTCAACTGAATTATCAGTAAAATGAAATTCGATCGCGTGTCTGTTATCGCTCGTTACTTCAGTCAGATATATAGAGGGATTACTCGTGTTTGTCATGTTTGGCGTCACTTCCCGTTTCTTCACATGCTTGTTACACATCTCCCGTAGCAATGATCTCTGTGTTAAAATTATATTTGGGATGTATTTAACAAGTTCTATCACATATTTTATAATGACTGACACCAATATTGTCCTTTAAGAATATTCACTCAGATTCTGTTCTAACAAAAACATTATCAGTTCCAGATTTGAATTCAATATAACAGTATGCCATAGTGCCGCTGCCTGGGCAAAATTCCCCTCATAGTACACTGTATGGCATATGCCCGACTTCATTAACCCAGTCCAAGCAGAACAGTAGGACGTTAAACCATATTTCATTTCATTTCCATTGTAAGCCACTGAGTCACTGTTAAGGTTCAATAATGGTGTAAATATTTTAACATTTTTACAGGATATCAATAGTTATAGTCAATCAGATTAAAACACAGATCCTATTTTGTTTCGTTTTACTTGTCTTCACAGCACTAGTATCTGGAAGAGTTGTTATATATAAGCCGCATTTCTGGTTAATGTGAGGGATAAGCCAATGTAATGGTCTGTTTTGGGGAGTTCTTGGCGTGCGATGGCCGGAACTGTGGGTAAACCACTAGAAACGTCAACGCTGGTTGATTTATCAAAAGCCACTCGTATGACCTCTGACGTGACCTCCCAGAACAGCAAGTCAGATCTTCATGTAGTGTAGGCCATCAAAAATATAAAAAAAACGAAATATAGATGTGTATTTTGATCAGATTGTATATATAGTCCTAGTATAATATATAGGCTACAGTACACACTAAAATTAAAATATATTACAAATAATTACTGTAAGTAACTAGAACTTAGAGAATTTACTTTTTAGAGATTATTACTAAACAGTAGAAAAAGGTTTTCTTTTCATAACACAACACAATACAATAAGGTACCAGTATATTTGGATATAACTACTTTTCTATTATTTGATAACGATGTTTCGTAACACATACAGGTCACGTTTTCAAGGTTATGATAAATATCCATCTAGTCAACCTGTATGTGTTACGAAACGTCGTTATTAAATAATAGAGTGTTGTGTTTTGTTATGAATAGTTAACAGTGCTTCTAGATTTCATTAAAAGAATTGAAGTTTTTCTTTGCTTCTTGAATCTAGCTCTCATATTTCCTGGGGATCAAAATGGTGTAACTCTGATTGGAGTGAAGACACTAGTCACGGAGATTGATGTCACAGGTCCAGTTTTTTGATATATTCACCTTTTTTTTTTTTTTTCAGTAACGTAATTGCATGGACGTTTTTGTTCAGGGAGTTTATGTTAAGGGAGTTTTTTTTTGTTTTATTAATAGTTTTAGAATTGTTGTGAAAGTCATTTTCAATATATTTTAAAAGCTGACAATTTTCCGTTTTAAGAGTCTTTTGTAAATGAGGTTTTTCTTGACTTGAATTTCTCGAAATTACTTCCCTTTTAGCTTCAGAATTATCTCCCTTTAAATTGTAGCTTAAACCCAGAATTACCTCCCTTTTAAATGTAGCCTAAACCCAGAATTACCCCCCTTTTAGCCTACATCTAGAGAACTACTTAATAATGTTGAGAGAATAATCTTCGAAATGTCGCCCAAATAAATAAATAGCTGTTTTTCAATAAGTATGTGTAGTTGTGTATAATTACTGAACCCTTATTATATCTCATACCATCTGATAAATCAAACATTCTGGCACGATTGTTTCTGGAACTACTTAATTAGAAACCAGAAATATTTGATAAATATTGTATCATGTGTCGGCCGAAAATTGATTTTGTTTGTGTTAGACCCTCGGATCATAAATCAGTTATGAGAATGAGATTGTCTACAGATCGGAGATCATATTTGTTTCAACGGTATTGGATAATGAGATCAATCGAACTAGAATTTGTTTCGTACATGTATTTGTTTTAACGGTATTGGATAATGAAATCAATTGAACTAGAATTTGTTTCGTACATGTATTTGTTTTATAAACGGTATTGGATAATGAGATCAATTGAACTAGAATTTGTTAATAAATATCAGTTGCAACAGCATTTGGGTTATTGTTTGCGGAAAGATAAGTAATTATCAGACAGAGCTATTAGTAGCGGAATTCGGGTTTCAGCGAATCACAACACCAGCCATCTGTTTGCACGCAGGCTGGAATCTAATTATAACACAAATCTCAAATTTCCTTGATTCTGATTGGTTAAAAAGTGTGATTGAATAGTCAATAAATGCACTCTGTTTTAGCTAGGTGACTGTCCAATGGTTCAAGCATGCTTCAGTCATCTTCAATGGACTAAAAACCTCGTCTGAATTAGAAACAGGAAGTTTAGATTCAAATGCCCTAAAAACCCATCTAAATTAGAAACAGGAAGTTTTCAGCTCCTAATTATAAAATAGAGCAGTTTAGGTTGAAATACTCTAAAAATAATATATTGAAAGGCAAACATGCACAGTTCCTAGCTCTTTAATCTTTTTGAATATTTGATTAGACTCCAATAAGGTTTCAGCCAATCGAAAGTGTCCTTAATTCAAATAAGCTTGGTAATAAACCATCTGGTTTCCCCTTGTCAGTGGTACAGGGCGGAGTAGTGTCCCCATGTCAGTGGTGCAGGACAGAGTGGTGTCCCCATGTCAGTGATGCAAGATGGAGGACCTGTCTAGTCATTTGGATGGTACATGTACGAAAAGCCAATGTCCTGTCTACATGTTGGCGGGCATGTTAAAGAACTCTTGACAAGGCCCATCTTCATTAGCCCAGTTGGTGCAAAAAAGTAGGACGTTAAATCCCATTTCTTTCTTTTCATCAGTGTTGGATGTCGTGACGTTGAAATATGCCACATGTATCTCTTCCTATTCTGGGTTACGGATGTATGCTACATGTATCTCTTCCTATTCTGGGATACTTCGTGTGTCGTACGTCTGCTTGCTGTCATTGGCAGGTGTTGTGCGTGAGGTTGGGTATGCTCTCTATTCCTATTCTGGGATTTGTGCGGTGTGTCTGCTTGCCGTCACTGGCAGGTGTTGTGCGTGAGGTTGGGTATGCTCTCTATTCCTATTCTGGGATTTGTGTGGTGTGTCTGCTTGCTGTCACTGGGGCTCTTGTCGTGCTTATGCTCCTCCTATTACTTTATTCTTCTATCATGGCGTTGTCAATGAAATTTTCAAAATTTGTCCAGAGGGCTTGGTGTTTTGACCTCTGGCTACGATTGATTGCCTTTGGTTTTTAACGAGAAATAGAAATACGTTACAATTCTCTGATTAATCGTAGATTTTATAGATTTCAGTATATTTTACAGTTTCCCAGTTTTACAGTCGTAACCAGATTTTTATTACTTACCTGTTCATATAATATGATTTTATGATGTAATTTATTCTATTAGTTGATAATGAATAACAGTTTTTGCTTATTTTTTTTTTTCATATAAATACTATATACATGTAGTTTTTATCGAAATGATTTTATTCTTGGTTTATTGAATGAATTTTCTTTGTTTCTGTAAGCGTATTATAGCAATTGTAACCATATGTATATATACATTTTGTAGCAATATTTACATATAAAGTCTCTGAAAGCCGTTTGAAGGATTTTTAGTCCCTTGCAGGCTAAAATATTATGAAAGCTGAATCTCCAAAGGTATATCAGTTTAATTATGAATCGAAAACTTAGAGAGATATGATGAATTGAAAATGTTTTAAAGACATAATGAATTGAAAATCTAGAAAGAAATAATGAATTAAAAATTTAGAAAGATATCATGAATTGAAAATTTAGAAGGATATAATGAATTGAAAATTTAGAATTATATAATGAATTAAAAATTTAGAAGGATATAATGAATTGAAAATTTAAAAGGATATAATGAATTGAAAATCTATAGTATATAATGAATTAAAAATTTAGAAAGATATAATGAATTAAAAATTTAGAAGGATATAATGAATTGAAAATCTAGAAGGATATAATGAATTGAAAATGTTATAATGAATTGAAAATTTGGAAAGATATAATAAATTGAAAATCTAAAAAGATAAGATGAATTGAAAATGTTATAAAGACATAATGATGAATTGAAAATCTAGAAAGAAATAATGAATTGAACATTTTACAAAGAGATAATATGAATTGAAAATTTGTCAATTTGTCAACTTTCAGCGTCTTCTGCACAATAGTGGTCTCTACTCTTTAATCTGGTTGAATGCAAGCCAGAAGATTATCCACGATTGATTGATATTTTGATTTAGGTTTAATGTGGATTAAGCGGTTGAAAATTTGAGATTGTCAGAAAAATATAAATGGCTTACAAAGACTTTATTTTTAAAACTAACAAATTTTTGATAATTTAGTTTTAAATTAATCAATTATTCTTTTAACCCTTTAGGTGCCAAATTGCAAATGGTTTCCAGAAATCATATTTGGGAGAACTTTTTACTAAGTACCTCGTCCCATCAGTTTGCAGTATTTTGGTTAATGATGTTAAAATTGCCCAACATTGTCATAAATCCTTAAAGCTCCCACATTTGGCAAAGGATATGATTTCTCTGTTTCTTTTTAGATTTAGAAAATGATATTAATGGTAGGTTCCCACTTACGATAGGATTTATAACCAAGCATTTGAACATTATGCTTGGTCATATATGCCTCCTATTGAAGATTATGCTTGGTCATAGATTGTCCCTATTGAGTCCACGATCTGCTAGGTTCAGATACGGCCAACACGATAAGACCTGTTTACCGTTCCAAATTGAACAAATCAAATGCTAGGTTCCCATTGTCGTGCGATGAGCTCGGTTAGGATTGTTCCTAATGAGTCCATCATCAGAGAGAGGCCACTGGTAATATTTGGCAATGGAAGTCAAAAGTCACTGGGAATCTGGCACTCAGCAAACCTCGGCAAATTACAGTACCCTACATCGACATACAGCCGAGGCTAGGTGTAGGGTACTGTAATCTGCTGAGGTTTGCCAAGTGAGGGATCTGGTACCTAAAGGGTTTAAAAAAAAGAAATTAGTGAAAATATACAGGACCTTAATTAGTTGTACTAAATTTATTAGCATGATTGTTGCATCTATTTATAGCAAGATTCATTAATACAGCAATTAATATTTCATTTCATATATACCTGGCCCCAAGTTCACAAAGCATTCTTAGATTTAAGTTAAGAATTTACTCAACTTTCAATCACTGTTTATGAGAAATATCTTTGATCCAGAAACACAAAAATTTGCACATAGTTTCTTATTGATGTATTTGGTACATTAAAACAAAAAATATTTTATAAAGGGCTATATTTTTGTTAAAATAAGGCAAACAATTTCGAGTAAATTCTTTACTTAAGTTTGAGAATGCTTTGTGAACTCGTGACCTGAACATTTTATCAGAACTTTATGTTAATTAACATAATATTAATTTTAAAAGTTTTATTGTAAAATTGAAATGATATATTGGCATGAATTCCCATGTGTTCATCATTTTAGAAGTTATTCATATTTGCATAATATTTGTAAATAAATGAATCAGCATGAATCATTCAGTATTTTTGTTTCCATATGAATTAATTAATTAATGAAATCATTAAAATCTAACACATGTTCATTAATACGCATCTTGTTTCTCATTCAAATTCATTTAATCTTTAAAATTGTTTGGGAAAGATATTATGGAATTGTGTTCATTTATTTTTGCGACATTTAAATGTTTTGCGTATTTTTCTCTTTATCAGATGAGGGGAATACAAATGGTCATCCAAAAACTAAAATTGCCAAGGATGGAACAGAGGTATGATGTGATCTTTTTATTTTTAGTATTTTTTTTTGTTTTTTTTGTTTTTTTGTTAAATAATCAAAGTTTTGTTGTGTTCCATTCAATGGCACTGTCTTTAAGAATGTTTTTTGGTTGCTAGGTGTGTGAATTTTGGTTGCTAGGGGAGTGAATTTTTTTTGGTTGCCAGGTGTGTGAATTTTTTGGGTTGCCAGGTGCGTGAATTTTTTGATTGCTAGGCGTGTGAATTTTTTTCGTTGCTAGGTGGGTGAATTTTTTGATTGCTAGGTGTGTGAATCTTTTGGTTGCCAGGTGTGTGGATTTTTTGGTTGCTAGGTGTGTGAATCTTTTGGTTGCTAGGTGTGTGAATTTTTTGGTTGCCAGGTGTGTGAATTTTGTATGTACACAAATAACACTTATGTGCATGTCCACCTATTCCTATCTTACTGTTGCAAGTTTTATGAATTCTGTTAACAATGAACAAAATTCTGTTCATTTCTTCTTTCGAGTTCTTCACCTATCTTTAAGAATGTATTTTGTGTTTATTTTAAATTTGTTATACTAATATACCCCTGTATGGATTCAGTATAAATGATGATTTCTATGTGTTATACAATATACCCTAGTATAATCTTATATTATAGTATGAATTCAGTATAAATGATGATCTGTGTTATACTAATAGTAATACACACCTAATCTTACATTATTGTATGAATTCAGTATAAATTCCTTCCATTGCTAAAGACCCCTATGCGCAACTGAATTATTGAAATAAAATTGAACCATATGTTGGTCCATAAATGAACTAGTTTGTATAGAGTGGATGTCAAACCCCATATCTCTCTCTCTCGCCCTCTCTCTCTCTCTCTCTCTCTCTCCCCCTCTCTCTCTCTCTCTCCCTCTCTCTCTCTCTCCCCTCTCTCTCTCCCCCCCCTCTCTCTCTCTCTCTCTCGCGCTCTCTTATTGTATGAATTCTCTAAGTTCATGATCGGAAGTTGATTCACTTTTGCCAGTCATGAATTCTGTGGTTGGCATCTGATGGGGAGGGGGGGGGGTGTCTCCTACCCCTCCCTTGAACCGACCGCTTAATAATGTTATTTGTAGCTACATTAGTCGATTTACCCAGATGTAATTATTTCCCTTGATAGCGTCCTTGTCTAGGAAGTCACATGTTTCATTGGGAAACTGGGAAATATTTGAAAATCATTTCTGGGTACACCCCCTCCATTAAGTAGATTTTAAGATTGATACAAACGTTTCAACTTTGAAGTCACAAACGGTTCAACTTTGAAGTCATATATATATATATACAATGTATATATCTCCAAATCACATTGGGGTTCACGGTGGCTAAGTGGGTAAGACGCTGGCTCGCTAGCCTGGAGGTCGAGTGTTTGATCCCTGCATTTCCGGCATGGTTCCCCTATGTCAGACTTTTATTTTGTAGAAGTAATGTCTCGGTGAAATTTACCTTTCGTTATCAAGTTAGCCCATGGGTCATTCACTGTATAAACCTCAAAAGGAATGGGGATCGATTAAAAAGGGTTACGCGTCCGGATAAGCAGTTTTTACGTTCACGTCCAAACGACTCAGTATTTTGAGCTAAAATTTTGAGACGGGGTAAATACACCATTCCTCTATATTTTGGCGTTTAAATTTTATAAGTACTCAGACTTTTATTTTTGAAACTCTGTTCAAACCTTGATAGTCCCTTTAATTTAAATGATTTCTGATCAGTTGAGAAAAATTGACATCCATGAGATTTTTATTACATCATTTTGTTTATTTCACACATATGTGTTTATGTCTTTATTGTCAACCCTCTGTAATATACTACCGGTATATGTTAAAATCAATAAAGTTTATTTGAAACAGTCTGTTACTCTAGGTTTATATGTTTATCAAATTATTATATATATTTCTCAAAAAAAGGGGTTTATAAATCTATAAAAACCATCTGTTACCACACAATTAAAACAGAAATTAAAACTCAAGTCGGTGTGAAGTCTTTCACATGTTGAATAATTAACCTGTTACAAAATGGATAAAATATCGTTAAGACAAACAAAATATGGAACGTTAGATGATTCAGGTGAAGTTGAAAAGGTAAAAATCTAAATTCATTAATTTTACGATGATTTGAAAGATAAATGAAGAGTCCAGGGGAAGAACGATTTAAGTCACATTTTTGCCTTATTCACGTAAAAGGCAGAACAGTCTTTTGGACGAGAATGCTTAACGTGAACAGAACAACGAGTGGGTTTAATTACAACTTCAAAATGATGTTTAATACGAATCATAATTACCAGTACAACAACTGACTTCTTCTTTTTAGCCAAATTAAGGTCAAATAAAGGGTATGATGGGCGTATTTGTCCAGGCGACCATTTTAGAAGAGCCTTGGTTCGATGTGACTCCGATCATTGTTACCTGAAATTGATTGTTCCTCAGAAAGCTTAAACAATTTGCTACCAGACGGTGCCATTAACTGGGGTTTGTTGAAAAAGTGACTTAGATTGTTCTCCGATGGAGCTCTTCAATTGAGTAGTTGGCTGGTGATACCTGGAGCCAACTCCTGAATGGTATGCCCCTTATCTTCAAGTTTAGGGCCTAATATCAGAAAGGAGGACATTTTAAATACTGTAAATAAAGCAGGTGAAATAAAGCTTTTATTTAAATTAAATATAAATCTGCTACGTTAATTAAGTTTGGTGTCCCATGTCATATGTCCAGTAATATCCACGCTTTGCATGATGATTTCCTTAAATTACTTTTATAATTATTTCTCTATAGAATTTGTACGTTGTCAGTTCTATTTGTATAGAATTTGTATGTTCCTAGTGAATACATGTTTGTATAGAATTTATATGTTCTCAGTGAATACATGTTTGTACGTTCCTAGTGAATACATGTTTGTATAGAATTTGTATGTTCCCAGTGAATACATGTTTGTATAGAATTTATATGTTCTCAGTGAATACATGTTTGTACGTTCCTAGTGAATACATGTTTGTATAGAATTTGTATGTTCCCAGTGAATACATGTTTGTATAGAATTTATATGTTCTCAGTGAATACATGTTTGTATGTTCCTAGTGAATACATGTTTGTATAGAATTTATATGTTCCCAGTGAATACATGTTTGTATAGTATTTGTATGTTCTCAGTGAATACATGTTTGTACGTTCCTAGTGAATACATGTTTGTATAGAATTTGTATGTTCCCAGTGAATACATGTTTGTATAGTATTTACATGTTCTCAGTGAATACATGTTTGTATGTTCCTAGTGAATACATGTTTGTATAGAATTTATATGTTCCCAGTGAATACATGTTTGTATAGTATTTGTATGTTCTCAGTGAATACATGTTTGTATGTTCCTAGTGAATACATGTTTGTATAGTATTTGTATGTTCCCAGTAAATACATGTTTGTATAGTATTTGTATGTTCCCAGTAAATACATGTTTGTGTCTAGTGATGTAAGTGTGCCATGATGAAATGTACACAATATAGTATCTCGTTGTGATTATGATAATGAGAATCTAATAATTGTGATGTTTTTCATTGCTTGTTTACATAAAAGTTTTTCCTTTCTGTGCATTTGTGTGAAGTTATCATGCATGCTTATGAAGTATGACATACCCTCCCTATAATGTATATATATATATACCCCTCCCTGTATTGTATACACACTGTTATACCCTTCCTGTATTGTATACACACTGTTATACCCTCCCTGTATTGTATATATATATATATATATACCCCTCCCTGTATTGTATACACACTGTTATACCCTCTCTGTATTGTACGCACACTGTTATACCCCCCTGTATTGTATATATCCTGTTATACCCTCCCTGTATTGTATATATACCCTGCTATACCCTCCCTGTATTGTATACACACTGTTATACCCTCCCTATATTGTATACACACTATTATACCCTGCCTGTATTGTATATACACTGCTGAGTGTTATATCCTTCATGTATTGTACTGTATGTACCGGTACTGTTATACTTATACCCTCCATGTATTGTACTGTATGTACCGGTACTGTTATACCCTTCCTTGTATGGTATACACACTGTTATACCCCTCCGTGTACTATTGTATATACATTGTTACATCTTCCTATATTGTATATATTTTATGTTGTTTGTCATTACATCATACATGTATGTTTACAATGTACTTATTGTCCCCTACAATATATATATTTTTTTTTTTACGTCGTTATTTTATTTCAAATTTGGTTGACAACACTTGGTAATCATCACTAGGATTTCAATCAATCTTGACCTCTTTCAACTTGACCTCTTGACCTCTTACATCTTGAATTCAGGGAGATGCTGTAAGAACCATGCTCCCAGTACACAAAATATTTTCAGACTTACGAATTTACTCAACTTTCAATCACTGTTTATGAGAAATATCTTTGATCCAGAAATACAAAACTTTGCACATATTTTCTTATTGATATGTATTTGATACACTAAAACAGCAAAAGTTTGATAAAGGGTTATATTTTAGTTAAAATAAGGTTTATAGTTTTGAGTAAATTCTGAACTTAAGTCAGAGAATGCTTTGTAAAACTGAGGCCTGGACTCTCAACTAGAGTTATTCAGGGTAAAATCTTGGTTCATCACTTGGACCCAGAGAAAAAAACGAGCAAAAGTTTAAAAGAACGTCTTCCATTGGCAAAGTCATGGCCTATTTTTTCTGAGAATCTGGGCATAAGATGTGCCGGTTTTTGAGAAGAATCTTGGGATTTTTAACATACGTCAAAGGTAGCAACAAGGATAGTTATAGGCTCTAAACTTCAAGCCTAGTTCTCAGTGGAGCTGACAAGGAAAGTGATGTTTAGTCATTTAGATCGGACGAAAAATCGAGGTACATTTGTGTACCGGGTTGCTCTTTTCTCTAAAGAAAAATGTCTAATCACTTGGATGGGATAAAAAGACTGAGATCCTGTGTACACATTGACATGTACGTAAAAGATCCCTTGACAGTTGGAATTTAATGTAAGAGGAGGCTGTAGCGCCACTGCCCAGACAAAACTACGCTCATAACTTTATGGTGTATGCCTGTATTCATTAGCCCAGTTGGAGCAGAACAGTAGGACGTTAAACTCTGTTTCATTTTATCTCGAAAGCTTTCAGCTCAAATAGCTTTAAAGTTTAATGGATTAGTCCCGAAATGACCCAGTTTGTGTTGTGGATGTTAAACCCATTTACCTCTCCTCTCCCTTTAATGGATGGTTATTTATCAAGGACTTGAAAAACTGAAAATTTGAATGCTGAGAGTTGTCAACCCCAATGTATCTTTGTTGCTTGCCATTCATGGATCATGTTATTTTTTTTTTGCTTAAATCTAAATTGTGTGTCCCTCAAACAGAGTTTCATACCCTACGTAGACGGTGTCGACGATAATGAAGATATTGTTCTATTAAGAAATTTTGAACAGCAACAGCAACGACATGGTTCGAACAGTTTTAAGGTGAAATCATGTGACTGCTCTTATCCAATCAGCTGTCATAACACATCTATTGTTTCTAACACTGTAGATGCATGTTGTTATCTGTAACTTCATTGGTTGAAAGCTAATTGTCATGATTTTTAACTTGCTCGCATCACAGATTGGCTAGAAGTCTTTAATAATTGTAAGGACGATTAAAATCATTTTAAAGGAGCTGCCCCAGAGAGAGAGAGAGAGAGAGAGAGAGAGACAGAGAGAGAGAGAGAGGTTTAACATCCACTTGACACAAACCAGGTCATTTCAGGACTAACATATGGTTCAGTTTTATTTCAATATTTCGCTTGTGCGTAGGGGTCTTAAATCCAAACGAATTATTGAAATAAAATTGAACCATGTGTTAGTCCCAAAATGACCTAGTTTGTGTTAAGTGGACGTTAAAACCCACTTCTCTCCCTCTACACAGATTACCGATTTTAATAAAAACCCGAACCATATGTCAGTCCCAAAATAACCTAGATTGTGTCAAGTGGATATTAAACTCCATTGCTCTCTCTCACTCTTTCCCTTTGAAATCTTGGACAGCTCTTTCAACTGATCAGTAATTTTGCACCAAGTGGCTATAGCGTATTATTTTTTTTTAGCTCACTGTCACAAATAAATTTGTCTGACATTCAGAATGTTATAATGACCTAAAAATGTTAGCATGTGAAATATGATTATAATTTAGAATATTAGATTGAATTATTTTTATTATGCATGTTTACATTATTGTCTGCGACATTCATTTAATTATTTAAATTTATTTTAATTTTTTTATTGCATGGTTGTCAGCGTGATGAATATGTAAGCTATGATTATAGTCTAGTAAACCCCAAACTTCAGCACTCCCTTTCTCAACACTCATTAATCCCTTGCTGTTAACCCTATGGTACCTGAAACGCTGGAAACTGTCTGAAACGACTTTTCCTTCTAATGTCCCAAACTTCCAGTCACATAGCTATGTACTTCCAGTCACATAGCTATGTACTTCCAGTCACATGAATGTATCAAATAGCTATGTACTGCCAGTCACATGCTTAGATCAAGTAGCTATCTATTTCCAGTCAAATGAATATATCGAATAGCTGTGTACTTCCAGTCACACGATTAGATCAAATAGCTGTGTACTTCCAGTCACATGATTAGATCAAATAGCTGTGTACTTCCGGTCACATGATTAGATCAAATAGCTATGTAATTCCAGTCACATGAATATGTCAAATAGCTGTGTACTTCCAGTCACATGATTAGATCAAATAGCTATGTACTTCCAGTCACATGATTAGATCAAATAGCTGTGTACTTTTTAAAGACCATGTGTGGTGGTGTAGAGAACATTAGATTTGAGGTATTTCGCAGATGAGCTAAAAAAATGAAATGTTAAAAAAAATCACTTTTCTCAGATTTATTTAGTGAAGTGTATATAATAGTTAATATTTACATATACACCAGGTGCTAGAGGGTTTAATTTATCTCTGTACCATTTTTCTGCGTTTAATTACCTCCCCTTAATTACTTACAGACACATTCCATTAATCTTTCCACTACCTTCAACACAGTTAGTGCTAAATGATAAGGCCAGATCAATTTTTTGCTATAGGTCACAAAATGTAAACAGGGCTAGTGCTAATCCCAACCCTAACCATGGACCTTGCCCCAATGCTCACCCTAACCCAAACCTACAATGTTGCCAAGAATCACGTGTCCTAACCTTATTTATATCCCAGTGACCTTGACAAAAATTGAGATGGCATTAATAAATAGATTTAGTCCCTTGAACACACCAGAAAGAACAACTTTATAATGAACAATTTGATGATTTTTAAGGGCTGATTTTGTTGGGTGTAGGGCAATCAGAGAACTGGTCAAAGTACCTGACACGGGGGGGTTGGTCGCAGCCTTGAAGCCCCAGGGTCTACACTGAACAAAATAACGGAGAAACATCCAGCAACTCGAGTTTTAAAATATATAAAATATCTAATTTATTCTTATCATTTTTTTCAACCGTGAAATTCTGCTCAATCCTTCTTTTTTTTTGGCATTTCTCTGCTGTGTCGTTTATATAAGAATGTATATTTACGTGCAGGTTTATTAGATCGTGAAAGTTTATTGAGAGTAGACATATTTGTAGGCAGGTCGTAGGTTCTAACAGGATATATCAGCTGTATATTCATTCAACCATGTAAATATAGACTTGTATATACATACATATAGTAAATACATCGCTACTCAATAAATAATAAATAACTTTTATATCTTGTAAATAATAAAAAAAATCAAAGAGATGCCCATCGCGCTTCGTCGCCGCAATCCACCCCCCACTTATATGGTGTAAAATAAACCAACATGACCCTGTGAATGCTTTAGACCATAATTTTGTTCAATTTGGGCCGGGTGAAGCTGGGTATTCAGCTAGTTTTACATATGATTAGTAAATACATCGCTACCCAAAATATTTAAATACATCGCTACCCAAAATATTTTTAAAATTACCTCATTAAATGATTTATAACTTGAAAAATGAGAATATTGGATTGTATAAAAAAAAAAAAAACTAAAAAAAAAACCATCGATTGAAGTAATTTATAAAAGAATCCTAAATGAAAAGTTGAAAAAAAAATTATACCATTTGTCCAAATATGATCTAGTTTTTGTTGATTGGACATTACCACAATAATTGTAGAAATATTTTATAATCTCTCTCTCTCTCTCTCTCTCTCTCTCTCTCTCTCTCTCCCTCTCTCTCTCTCTATCTATCTTTTCCCTACATATTTTATATTGTTTTAAACCCCACTTATTTAAGATGTCATGCATATTTCCACTTTCATTATTAAAATATATGATAAAATACCAGCTTCCAAACCACGTACATCCACTCAAACCACATTCATTATTAACTTTCAATTTAAAAACTGATGACAATCTGAGATTTGATCTGTGATATAAGAGTCACGTTGTTGACTGTAATGTAAAGTTAAGAGTCAACTATCCATGGATCAATGCCTAGATACATTGGAGTGTCGCTGAATGTTTAGGGCGTGGTTGTTAACCTAAAACTATTTCACTCTCTATACATATATATATATAAAAAGTCGAATGTATGCTAAAGACAATTAATCTAGGGAGATAGTCGAGGTTGTCAAGTTGAATGTTTGCTGAAGACAATTAATCTAGGGAGATAGTCGAGATCGTAAAGTTATATACTGGGACGAAAACAATGGTTTACATTAATATATCCACATGGTCGTGACACTCAAGAAAGCTGAAATAGGCAGGATACATGTGGTCGTGACCCTCGAGAAAGCTCATATACACGGGTAGTGATTAATGAAGTTTTTAAGTATTAATTTTTAAATCTGTTTTGATATAGACAAAATCAATACCGTTATAGGAGGGAAGTGATTAATGAAGTTTTTAATTATTATTTTTTAAATCTGTTTGGATATAGAGAGATAGATAAAAATCATTTAGCAGAGAGGAATTTAAACCATGTTATATAATATACATGTATATACCCTGTCGTGAAACTCGAGAAAGCTGAAATAATCGAGATACATGTAGATATAGGAAGTTTTTAATAATTAGGATACGAGAGACGGTGTTAATTATTACAAACATGTAGATATTAATCTTTCTGGTTAAATATTGATTCTGGGATGATATTGTGTATAATGTTCTGTTGTATTCGCATGCGACAACAACGAGAGGATTAACGGAAAAAGTGTGATAAGTTAGCGAAGTAAAAAAGGATATGTTTAAAAATGCCTTGTTGTGTAAATAAAACAGAGGCCTACGATATGGATGAAGATAACAAGGATCCTTCTGTGAGGATTTTCATTTTTTAATCAATTTTGAAATTTTTTTAATAATTTATTTTCTTCAGCCTATTTTATTCGGGGGATCACGGTGTTTAAGTGGGTAAGACGCTGGCTTGCTAGACGGGAGGTTGTGTGTTCGATCAATGCATTGGCCGAAAAAGTTCATCCAGATTTTAGGCGCAGTTCCCCCTTTGTCAGTGATGCAGGACAGAGGATCTGACAAGGACAGCTGTCTAGTAGTTCGGATGGGACAAAAAGATCCCTTGACAGTTGGAATTCGATATAAGAGTAGGCCGTAGTGCTGCTGTCCAGGCAAAATTTCCCTCATAGCACACTGTATGGCGTATGCCCGTCTTATTAGCCCAGTCTGGAGCAGAACAGTAGGACATTAAACCCCATTTTAGTTCATTTCTATCGTATATACGTAGAACACAGGGGTTAATAAAAGAGGCCTGTCTATCCGTCACACTTTTTGTTATAGAACACATTAATCTTGTTTGTAACTGGAGGCAGGGCGGCCTGTCATTGAGTCAAGTGGTGTGGTTTGGATTCCACGCTTGTACATGACAAGGAGTAGGGTCGCCTGTCCAAGTTGAATTTTCTCTGGGTCCTCCAGTTTCCTCCCACCGCTACAGACACCTAAATGCAAGCGGATTATTGAAATAAAATGCTAGCTTGTGTCTAGTGGATGTTAAACCCCATTTTGTTACCATGGATATATTCCAATCTGTTTAGAATTATATATTAACTCATAGTTTTCAATGGTTTTTAGATTTATTTGGTTAATGTAAAAAAACACAGTTAAAGTAATAACAATATACATATATTATAATAATATTCTGAGTAAATGTTTATATATTAAGTAATATTTGATGATAGAGTCATTTTATTTAAATATTATAACATATATTATAATAATATTCTTAGTAAATGTTTATTTTGAGTAATGATATTACATGTTTTATAACACTACTTAGTCGTATATATTTATATATTAAATATTATTTCATTATAAAACCAGATTGTTTGACAGATCTACGTTTCAAATGTTTGTTTCTCACATTTTAAACCAGGAAAAATCTTTTTCAGATAAAATACAAAATGATTAGATCATATATCAGTGATTTTAAATCAATATTTTATATGTATTTAAAAATCTCACTAGCCTGCAGGAGGTCGGGTGTTCGATCCCTGCATTGGCAGAGAAAGTTCATCCTGATTTTCCGACGTGGTTTCCCCTTGTCAGTGGTGCAGAGCGGAGGGTCTGACAAGGACAGCTGTCTAGTCCTTTGGATGAGACGAAAAACCGAGGTCTCGTGTATACATGTACATTAGAATGCACATAAAAGATCCCTTGGCAGTTGGAATTCGATATAAGAGTAGGCCATAGTGCCGCTGCCCGGGCAAAATTTCCCTCGTAGCACACTGTATGGTGTATGCCCGTCTTCATTAGCCCAGGTTAGGAGCAGAACAGTAGGACGTTAAACTCCATTTCCATTTCGTATTTAGAAATATTTTAAAGATACATTATGTAAGATTTAGATAAAGAGCTGACCATTCTTGCTATATTAGCTCAAAAATAGATAATGTAAAATAAAATATTGAAAATTTCATTCCAAGTACTTCATTCAGAGCCAAGTTATCACTGTTTGTAGTTTTAACAAGATGTGTGCATAGTGTTAACCAGGGCACTGGTATATTTGAAACAGCCTCGCTTTCCCAATTTTAAATTTTTAAATGGCGAACTGTTCTAATCTAGTTAAAATCTCGAGTATCCCATGGCATCAAGAGTTGATTAATTGGTCTTGTTTTGTTTATAAATACCTAATTAATTATTTAGATAACATTTAAGGCCTAATAAAAGACCCACAATTTGCATATTTAGCTGTTACATAATGTATGTTTAAAGGATTTGAGAGGGGTGTTGATAAAAGGGAGCTCTGTTGCCTAGAACAAACAGAGATGACTCTTTTCTTGAGAGGAGTAGGGTCGCCTGTCCAACCTTGTGGGTTTTCTCCGGATCCTCCGGTTTCCTCCCACTGCTAAAGACCCCTACACATAAGGGAATTATTGAAATAAAATTAAACCATATGTTTGTCCCTGGTTCCTCCGGTTTCCCTCCACTGCAAGCAAATTATTGAAATAAAATTAAAACATATGTTCGTCCCGAAATGACCTAGTTTGTGTCGAGTGGACGTTAAACCCTTATTGTTGACAGATAGACAGGAGATAGAAATATTAGGCCCTGCTTTTTTTTAACTAGAAAATGTATGCATTCTTTTCTAAGCTTATAATGGTAAATAGCCACACAGAACAGGGCTTAGTATTTTTGACTGAACATAGAGAGCAAAATGAAAATTTTTCCCAAGAGAAATAGCATCTTTTACCCTATTCGGAAATAGCCCATGCCGTGTATCTTCCAAAACAAGCGGAAAAACCATTTGCATCATTAAGAAGGCTGATATGCGAGTAGAAATGTTACAATATAAATAATTGGGCTTTTCATGACTGATGCCGACCGAGACATACATGTCAATGATATGTATGTCGCGTTGGATAATATTTGAACCTTTTTAGATCTAAATGGATTCACACAAATGGCTATACAATTGCATAATATTTAGCTTAGCCCCGAAGGCTCCCCACATTCTTTTTATTTATATCTGAAGTAGAGGCTGTCATCTGACCAATTAGGTCCTCTTTTTGGGGAAGTTTTATTCAAAGGACCTAGGATATTAAGAAGTACCCCGAAATGGTAAATAGCTACATGTTCTCAGGCCTTGTTTGTTGATTCAAACATAGGTTCATCTGTCCACAAAAAGGACAGGGCCTTGTTTGATTCAAACATAGGTTCATCTGTCCACAAAAAGGACAGGACCCTGTTTGTTCAATTCAGTCATAAGTCTCTTAGAGAATGGGTCCATAACTATATATTATCCTTTATTGTAGATACCGGCCGTGGAAACATTATATTTCCGTGATGGCGTCAAAAGAATTGATTTCGTTCTGGCTTATAACGACACAGACGCGGACAAGAAAGTTAACAGGCGGAACTTGTTCGAGGAAAATCTTAAAAAAGAAGGAGTTGAACTGGAATATGAAGAAAGACACGTAAGTCTAGTAGAATCCAAGTTTTATTGTTTGTGACATTTGAATGCATTTTGTTGGATGTTGGTTTCTTATATTTATTGTTCGTGTTGATTTAACCCTTTGAACTTGAAACTCCTGAACTGGAATATTGTCAAGATTTTCTTATGTGTTTTCCCTTTGTCATGATAGTGCGGGATAAAGGGCCTGACATGAACTGCATGCACATAAAAGATTCTTTGATTATTGTGGAATTCAAAATAAAGAGTGGGCTGTAGTGGTGGTGCCTGGGCAAAATTTTCCTAATAGTGTACTGCCCAGTTAGTGCATGAAATGAAATGGGGTTTAATGTCCTACTGTTCTGCTCCTATACTGGGCTAATAAAGACGGGCATACGCCATACAGTGTGCTATGAGGGAAATTTTGCCCGGGCAGCGGCACCATCACCTACACTTATATCGAATTCCAACTGCCAGGGGATCTTTTACGTGCATTCTAATATATACACGGGACCTCGGTTTTTTGTCTCATCCGAAGGACTAGACAGCTGTCCTTGTCAGGCCCTCCGTTCTGCACTACTGACAAGGGGAAACCACGTCGGAAAATCTGGATGAACTTCTCGGCCAATGCAGGGATCGAACACCCCAGTTAGTGTAGACAAGTAGGAAGTTAAACCTCATTTCGTTTTGTATTGCAATACGAATATAGTCTACAATACACAGCTATATCTTGTGAGGGGGATCACGGTGGGGAAGACGCCCGCTCGCTAGCCTGGAGGTCAGGTGTTTGATCCCTGCATTAGCCGAGAAAGTTCATCCAGATTTTCCGGCGTGGTTCCCCATTGTCAGTGATACAGGACAGAGGGCCTGACAAGGACGGCTGTCTAGTCGTTCGGATGCGACAAAAAACCAAGGCCCCGTGTACACATTGGCGTGGACATAAAAATTCCTTGACAGTTGGAATTTGATATAAGAGTAGGTCGTAGTGCTGCTGTCTGGGCAAAATGTCCCTCATAGCACACTGTATGGCATATGCCCGTCTTCATTAGCCCAGTTCGGAGCAAAACAGTCAGACGTTAATCTCCATTTCATTTCATTTTTGTATCTTGTGAGAATTTCTGATTACTGTGTAATATTGATGTAACAAGGTTCAAAGGGTTAATTATTAGATGACTGACTGATATTATGTACTAAATATAAATTGAGCTTGTTAATTATACTGTGTATCGGAACCATTATATAGAGAAAGTCAGGAAGTTAGGTCTTCCAACGCGAAAAATATCACTTTTAGTTGGGAAGTTATGGTCTTCCAACGCGAAAAATATCACTTTTACATAAGAATTTACTAGAACGTGAAATGGCAAAAGAGAGAGAGAAATGGGGTTTAACGTCCACTTGACACAAACTAGGTCATTACGGGACTAACACATGGTTCAATTTTATTTCAATAATTCGCTTGCATGTAGGGGTCTTTAGCAGTGGGAGAAAAACCGGAGGACCCGGAGAAAACCCAAGAGGTTGTACAGGCGACACTGCCGTGACAAGGTAGTCTGTCCAGCCTCATCGGTTTTCTCCTGGTCCTCCGGGTTTCCTTCACTACTAAAGACCCAAACATGATGAAGCATATTATTGAAATAAAATTGAACCATATGTTAGTCCCGAAATGAGTGAACTAGCATTCTGGTTGATGTGTGGAATTAACCAATGGAACAGTCTGCTATGGCGAGTTCTTGGCGTGCAATTCACAGACCTGTGAGTAGACAATCACAGTGAAGACAAAGAAAAAGTTGGATTTCCAAATACCCACTTGAAACATCAATGCCTCTTGTATGATCCCTTGTGGGACCACCCACTACAACTGGTCAGATCTTTCATGTAGTGGAGGAGGCCATCGAAAGTATAAAAACAAAATGAAATATAGATCTGTAAGGGGGGTTGGGATGGCCTAGTGGTCTAGAGTGTCACGCTTCGACCTCTAGTTGGCCGGTCACCTCTGGCTTGCGGCTGTGGTTTCGATCCCAGGTGTGAGCGTATGTGGCTTGGAGATAGGGACGCCTTCTCAACCTCGTGGGTTTACTCCGGGTACTCCGGTTTCCTCCCACAGCAAAGACCCCTGCGCGTGCGCTAAGATCATTAAAATGAACTTGTCTGCGATATCACCTTCGGTGGAAGCGGACGTTAAACGCTAAGAACAACAACATAGATCTGAATATTAATAAGTTGTAAGTTGACCCAACTCTCTTTGACGTTAAACCCTATTTCTCTCTGACCCAACTCCCTCTCTATGTAATGGTTCGGTACTGATACTCCTGCATATTTAGTGTGAAATTTTATAGAATAACTACCACTGTTTTATTAACGTGCAACGTAACGACGATGATACTCTCGTCTTAATCAAGCAAATGATTGACTATTGCATGTCAATAAACCAGTATTGTTATTCTATCACTAGTTTTTAGTGTGTTTTTATTTGATTACTAAAGTGTGAAATTTGGCAGAACTTTAAAATCTGTCCATTGCTTAGATTAGCTATAATAATAATTTTTTGGGGGTAGTGTTAGAAGGGATCATGCTGGTAGAATGGTAGGCCACCGAGGTGGGTTGGAGGGGGGCGGGGGGTAATAGTGCTAGAAGGGGTCGAGCTGGTATGGCACTGGGGTGGTATAGTGTTATAGACACTGCAAGCGAATTATTGAAATAAAATTGAACTATATGTTAGTCCCGAAATGACCTAGTCTATGTCGAGTGGTACCAACTTGTTGAGGAACTTCTCCTGTAAATCACTAGAAATCCATCGAAATCCACCTAGGGTTTTAAGAGGTATCTACTTGACATTTTACCATTGGTAATATGAAAACCTTTTTGAGAGAGAGAGAGAGAGAGAGATATGGTTTAATTTTATTTCAATAATTCGCTTGCGCATAGGGGTCTTTAGCAGTGGGAGAAAACCAGAGGACCCAGATAAAACCTACAAGGTTGGACATGCGACCCTATTCCTTGTCATGCACAACTGGGGATTTGAAACCACACCAGTTGACTCATTGACAGGCCATATGATAAGCGCGCACATGCTAACCATTCGGCCATCCAACCTACCATTTTAGCTGGAATCTTATATCCATGGGGATGACACAGACTTAAAATTCTCGACCACAATTTCTGCCGGCATTTTAGATTTTTATCTAGGAACGAAATAGAATTTATTAGTGAAATTTTAGATTTTTATTAAGAAAATCAAACAGAATTTATTAGTGAAATTTTAGATTTTTGTAACCTTATGAAATTTTTATTACAAATGATTATATAGAATCATTACATTATTCCCAATTCTTTACAAAAATAACCTCTAGTTCAGTTTGGGATACCTCTGGTTCAGTTTGGGATGCATTTTGATAGTTATAAATAATTTTGTCCCTCGCCTTTCAGAGCAAACGCGGAACTATTTAAATGGGTTTATAACATTATCGTCCTATCATCTGTCTGTAACACATGTGGTGGAGATGGTTTTTTTTTTTTTTCATTTCTTTGTACAGTTTTCAGTGTCATCTATTTTGGGTGGGTGGAGATCGGGAGGGGGTGTTGTTAAGGTGGGGGACATCAGCTTGATTAGTAATCTTTTAGTTTTAGTATGTTCAGTTTTTGTATTCTATTAACTGGCTTGTTCATGCATTTAGCTTTTATTTATCTTTTTATTTTTTACCCTATTTTGTCCTGTCTCGTCCTTGATTGTGGAATTATGGATCTAAATGTACGGTAAGTAAGCATGCATTATTATAATTAGAATACTGATATTTTAATTGTCAAAACTTGAGAAAGAGTTACACGTATAATCGTGAGAGTCAAGGTTTATTTTTGTATCTAACCCTTAAGGCGGCTTTCGCTGTAACCTGGGTATCATTTAATCTTGTGTATTTAGCACTAATTTCTTTCACAAATTCGATGATTTGGGGTGATTTTAAATGATTTTTACGAATTGTTAAACAGATTTGAAAGAAATTAGTGCTGGATAAACCAGATTAAATGGTACCCAGGTTACAGTTGTTAGTGTCGCTGCCCAGGCGAAAAAAACAAAATAACTGAGGTCCTGTGTACACATTGGCGTGCACACAAAAGATCTATTGACATACGAGTAGGCGGTAGCGCCGCTGTTCGGACAAAATTCCCCTCATACAGTGTATGCCCATCTTCCTTAGTCCTGTTGGAACAGGACAATAACGTGTTAAACCCCATTTTATTTGTAGCCTGCTTCCAACCACTACTAACAAACAACCTAACTAATAGTAACAACTTTTACTAACAGGAACAACTTTTACAAATAGGAACAACTTTCATCAAATGTCAATAGAGACAATTTGCAGCATTGATATAACACTGTAACCAGGGTATCATTTAATCTTGTGTATCCAGCACTAATTTCTTTCACATTCATTTACATGTAATATCCAATCTTTGTTTAAAAATTTGTAAAAACTGTTTAAAGGGACTATCCCGATTTGAACAGAGTCTTAAAAATAAAAGTCTGAGTACGTATGAAATTTAAGTACCAAAATATAGAGGAGTGGTGTATCTACCGTGTCTCAAAATTTCAGCTCAAAATATTGAGTCGTTTGGACGTGAATGTCAAAACTGCTTATCCGGACACGTAACCCTTTTAAGATTTCAGGACAATTTTTTCGTTGGGTGATCTGATAATCGATCCCCGTTCCTTTAGCGGTCTGTACAGTGAATGGCACATGTGCTGTACTTGATAACGAAAGGTAAATTCCACCTACACATTATTCTTATAAAATAAAAATCTGGTTTTATCCAGACACCGTATAATACAGCTTGGGACACCGGTCTCCATTTCCAGATGGAGACTGACGGATTTAAGTTGTTTGAAAACATGTCACATATATTGAGTTAGTTGCTCGGCCCTAAGGTAGATGATTTTAAGACAAATTTATCTCCAAAATATTATCGGAATTGGCCCTTTAAAATCACCATAAATTGTTTAATTTGTACTTGTGTCCAGTTTAAAGCTGACCATTCAATTTTGATAATTAGTCTTTAATTTCTCAATCACTGTTAAAAAATAAACAACCCAATTGATTAATGGTGTATAATGATTAATTTTTGAACAGTGGTCAGGAAATTAAATACTTGTAAATTGGCCACTCATTATCAAAATTAATCAGTCAGCTTTAAACTGGACACAAGTACAAATTAGATGATTTTTGGTGATTTTAAACGATTTTTACAAATTTTTAAACAAAGATTTGATATTAAACGAATGTGAAAGAAATTAGGGCTAGATACAGAAGAGAGAGAGAGAGAGAAATGGGGTTTAACGTCCACTCGACACAAACTAGGTCATTTCGGGACTAACATACACTACAGTGCTGGAGTTTGGGACTACAATCGCCGAACACCGCGGAAAAACACTCTATTTCACGGTGGAATCTTGGAGAATCGCTAGCGAAACGGCAGCTAGCCAAATCACTGCGAAATAGGGTGTTTCGCGGTGAATTATGGTGTTTCGCTTGAGTGCCGATATCATCCCGATGTAAGCATGTTGACGAAAAATGTAATTTATTTAAGTTGAATACAATATATGTTAACCGTTGGCGAGGCAGCTACGGTCGTATTTCTAACACACTGTACATGTATAATGTTGTGCCACAATGTACGTGTATGCAAACAATGAATAACTTACAATTTTTTAAACGTATCATTTCATCTTATTGGCTGCTATCAAATCCAAACTTTAAATTATATTCGATGAGATTTTACACATAACTTCATTACTCGCAGCTTCAGTTAACCTAAATCAACCATTCATAAATCACAGTGCCATACATGTAAATCACTCCTCAATGCGGTTAACCGTACATCATGTGGTCAGAAACGCGCGAAAACATGAGATGTTGGGTTCGACACGGGGACTATATATTCTTACGCTGTGTTACTTGGCGAAAAGTATTTAGCAAATCTTGACTGTCACTGGTATATGATAATAATGTATTATGACGTATTAAAATAATATGGGTGGGAGGGGGTACACTGCGAAAGTCACAAAAGTGACAAATAGAACTTGCAACGGGAGTCGAAAGCGCTTTCAAATCAGACATAAGAAGCTTGTACTTACCGCAAAAATGAAATGAACGCGACACAAGTCTCCGATGTCAGAGAATATTAGTAAAGTATAACCGCTATCAAATCCACACAAAAATCCAAGGCACTCATTTTATTTTAGAAAAGAATAACTGTAGGCTCGATAGAAAAGCCTATTCTTCATGAACCCCAAACCAATGGTAACTGTCAACTTGTATGTTGTCATTCTCGTGCAGATTTGTTTGAATAACAGAAATGTCCCGTGTATCAAAAAATAAAATCGCACGTAGCCACTCTTTGTTGTTTTTATGCGAATTCAATTAATCTAAAAGGGGCTCCGGCGCAATTTAAGGAATTATTTTTGAGCCAATATTAACCATCGCCAATTTTTTAAATCATGGGATAAAGTCAATTAACAAACAATACGGGTCTACTTTATTACAAAAACATTGGTGAACTTACCATTTTGTCTAAAATCATAACGCTAATCAACAAACAATACTATTGTTCTTTATTACAAAAACATCGGTGAACTATATTGTTTTTGTACATATTGTATTTATTTATTTGTTTGTACTATATGTTATACCTGATGAGTCTTTGGCTTAAAGGAATAAAGAATTTGAACTCGAACTAATCGCTGTCGGGATGGCGAGCCAAGCTAGTTGATTATTAGGTAAATAAAACAATATAAACAACCAATGAGTAAAAGTGATCTATTCTAATCAATTAAATAATATACAAGTCAAGTACCGGTATTACCTTAACCGTGGACGGGTTTGCTTGTGGACGGGTTAACGGACACTCAACTTACAAATATTAAATCATCGCAGTATTGGCACTGACTGACGGCACTTCGTGCACGGACTGTTGAGTTCTCGTTTAACTTATTGTGTTAATTTCACTATTGTTTAAAATGTAAACAAAATCTTATCTCGAGTACGTAGTACCGTATATCGAGCTAGTCTAGTAAGTAGTAGGCTAGGTTAATCCAGACTAAAACGAAAGTCCTTTTATTGTATTAATAACATTGGCTTCTGGTAGACTCGATTGTCATCTAAGGGATTATATTTTCTTTACGCGGTCTATTTATAGAACAGTAAAACGATTGTAAATATTGGCGCGATAAAAATTTAATTATAAGTCCAAGCTATTGTTGATAGAAAATAATAATGATTTACGTGTATCATAGATTATATTAAGTAACAATAGAATGAAAATACTGTTTGTTGTTTTTCGAGTTTTAGGTCATTATTACTTATTTTATGCATATTTTTGGTATGAAATTTTTTGGACCAGTAAAATCTCATTCGGTCCAGCAATAGTTGGAATAATACCTGCCCAAATGTCCAGTAAAAAAAATATCATTTCGCATGGACTGCAGGGTACATGTATATGCAGTAGGAAATCGACAAGTTGGACGTACAAAAGAATGGAATCATTCAGAAAGTGTACTCAAAATAAGTAAATTATAACGGGGTGAAGACGAGAATTAACACACTCGTGGATATTGTATAAATATATGAGGCGCATGTAATGTACACGTATGTGTGTGTGAAATGGCTTTATTCAATATCTGCTCCCACCGAAATGAATTGGGTGACATAAAGTAGATGTATATTGTCACAGCGGATATTATTTGCCGAGTAAAACAGCGTAAGAATATACATGTAGTCCCAATCTTTTGCCGCGTTTCTGACCACGTAACATACCGTTAAGCGACCCGCGGAGTGATTTACTGTACGTGCTGTATGGATAATTGATTTAGATTAACCGAAGCTGCGAGTAATGAAGTAATGTGTAAAAGCTCATCGTATATAATTTAAAGTTTGGATTTGATAGCAGCCCCAAATTGACGGATTACATCTAAGTTATAAACGAAGATGAATTGATATGTTTAAAAAATTGTAAGATGTTCATAGTTTGCATACATTTTGGTCGGCGTTATGTTACGTATGTATAAAGTGCATTGGGGAAAAATTCCTAACCGATACAGAATGCCGGTAAATGTCTTCCCGAGATTACCTAACTCATTTGTTATTCAAACCTGCCTGTACATTATACATGTACACGTTTCCCGGGAGCATTACTATATTACAACTCCTTTAATTTATTATAGACAATATTAGTTCGACCCTAGCTTAAGGTAGGCTCTCGAATTCCTTGCGGGAAGCACGGCAAAACACGATGTATTCTTATCGAAACACGGTGAATTCCTAGAGAAACACGGCGAATTCCTAGAGAAACACAGTGAATTCCGAGCGAATCTTAGAGAAAAATCGCCGCGGAATCAAGCGAAATTCCACCGTGAAATCTAAGAGAATTCCGAGAGTTTTTTTTCACCGCGTCGCGGCGATTTCGGTCCAAAAAATTTGGGAGGAACTGTATAGTTTAATTTTATTTCAATAATTCGCTTGCGTGTAGGGGTCTTTAGCAGTGGGAGGAAATCGGAGGACCCACGAGGTTGGAGCTAGATACACAAGATTAAATGATACCTGGGTTACAGTGTAAAGTTTCATTAGTAGATATCATCTGTTTATAAAGTGAACAGTATTAGTTTTACAGTGTAAATATCTCCACATATTAAAACCCAGTTATTTCCCTTTATTTCAGCGTAATAAGAAGGACAAGTTAAGGTTTGTAAAGATTCACTGTCCGTGGGAAGTATTGATAAGTTACGCAGAAGTTATGAGTATGAAGATGCCTTTAGCTGTAAGTATTTAAAGATACATTATGGGAGATTAGATGAAGAGCTGGCAGTTCTTACTATAATATTTAAAAACTAGGGGCTTGTGTTTCATCAACAATAGCTAAGTAATAGTTGTTGGGGCTTGTATTTCATCAATAATAGTAATAGTTGTTGGGGCTTGTATTTCATCAATAATGGTCATAGTTGTTGGAGCTTCTATTTAATCAATAATGGTAATAGTTGTGGGGGCTTGTATTTCATCAATAATAGCTAAATAATAGTTGTTGAGGCTTGTATTTCATCAATAATAGTAATAGTTGTTGGGGCTTGTATTTCATCAATAATGGTCATAGTTGTTGGAGCTTCTATTTAATCAATAATGGTAATAGTTGTGGGGGCTTGTATTTCATCAATAATAGCTAAATAATAGTTGTTGAGGCTTGTATTTCATCAATAATAGTAATAGTTGTTAGGGCTTGTATTTCATCAATAATGGTCATAGTTGTTGGAGCTTCTATTTAATCAATAATGGTAATAGTTGTGGGGGCTTGTATTTCATCAATAATAGCTAAGTAATAGTTGTTGAGGCTTGTATTTCATCAATAATAGTAATAGTTGTTAGGGCTTGTATTTCATCAATAATGGTCATAGTTGTTGGAGCTTCTATTTAATCAATAATGGTAATAGTTGTGGGGGCTTGTATTTCATCAATAATAGCTAAGTAATAGTTGTTGAGGCTTGTATTTCATCAATAATAGTAATAGTTGTTGGGGCTTGTATTTCATCAATAATGGTCATAGTTGTTGGAGCTTCTATTTAATCAATAATGGTAATAGTTGTGGGGGCTTGTGTTTCATCAATAATAGTTAAGTAATAGTTGTTGAGGCTTGTATTTCATCAATAATAGTAATAGTTGTTGGGGCTTGTATTTCATCAATAATAGTAATAGTTGTTGGGGCTTATATTTCATCAATAATAGTAATAGTTGTTGGGGGCTTGTATTTTATCAATAATGGTAATGTCTGTTGGGGGCTTGTATTTCATCAGTAATAGTTGTTGGGGCTTGTATTTCATCAGTAATAGTAATAGTTGTTGGGGCTTGTATTTCATCAATAATAGTAATAGTTGTTGGGGGCTTGTATTTCATCAGTAATAGTTGTTGGGGCTTGTATTTCATCAGTAATAGTAATAGTTGTTGGGGCTTGTATTTCATCAATAATAGTAATAGTTGTTGGGGGCTTGTATTTTATCAATAATGGTAATGTCTGTTGGGGGCTTGTATTATAGTAATAGTTGTTGGGGCTTGTATTTCATGAATAATATTGGGGCTCACCAGAGACTTATGTTGAACTTTGGGATTATGCAATAAAATGATACATGACAAGAAGTAGGGTCGCCTGTCCAATCTCGTGGGTGTTCTCCGGGTTCCTCCCACTGCTAAAGACCCCTACGCGCAAGCAAATTATTGAAATAAAATGGAACCATGTGTGAGTCCCGAAATGACCTAGTTTGTGTCGAGTGAGGTTTGGTTTAAATAATCAGTGTCTTGGTATTGGGCAGATCATTGACCCCTTGGGTTGGAATCCTGTGTGCTTAGTCAATCGGATGGGATAAAAAAAACTGAGGTCCACTCACTATCACATTGACCTGTACATTATACGTTGCTTTTCTGGCGAACCGACGAATCTGAAATACTTAAGTATAGAGAATTATGCGTTTGAAATTTGCGCTCTGTTGTTATCTCTATGTCCATTAAATAATAACATTTATGTAAATGGCGGCCGGTGTCCTGATGTGTATGTATGGAATATTAAATCATAAATAAATGTTAATGTTTGATGAGTACAGAGATAACAACACAACACAAATTTCAAACGCATAATTCTCAATACTTAAATATTTCAGATTCGTCGGTTCGCCAGAAAAGCAACGAAAAATGCCTATTCCAATCTGATTAAAATACAGATCTATATTTCATTTCGTTTCTTATACTTTCAATGGCCTCTACTACATGAAGATCTGACAAGTTGTGGGAGGTTGCATCAGAGGTCATTTGAGCGACATTTGACTCTATGGCGTCAGAATTTTGATTAACTAATCAGCGTTGATGTTTCTACTATGATACCCACAGTTCCGTGCAATGCACTCAAAGAACTTATCGTAACAGACTGTTTGATTGGCTAATCCCTCACATCATTCAGAACACGGGTTATATAACAACTCTTCCAGTGTAGTAAACAAAATATGATCTGTGTTTTAATCAGATCGAGAACCATTCCAGTGAAAGACCGTTACTATTTGAGTAAATGAAGGAAGAAATTATTTATTTATATTTTGAATATTTTATGTTTTTGTAGATGAATGATTTAGATGAAGAGACCACAAGCTGCTGGTCAAAATGTCCGACACCGTTCGATCTGGACGAGGAATATTTACCTCCCGTACCTGATTATTTTACTGCAGCTTTCTCTAGAAACAGACTGGATAAGTAAGTCTACAAAATAATATGATCACTGACACCCAGACTCATATCATTCAAATTCTGTTTTCCCATGTTCAAAATGTGTAATTTTATGACGTCTTTGCAGATTGACAGATTGAACAATTAATTACGAAAACAAAACCGAAATATCACGGGTAGATACGCTCGAAGTTTAATAGATAAGAGGCCCATCAAAATATTTTACCCAGCACTCTCGCTGAGGTGATGCCGAATATTGACAAATTTTTAATTCATCATATCTTTGTTAACTCTAAGCTGACCCAAGCTGACAACTGTTACGTATCCACGGCGACTTTTATCAACAAAACTGGTTAGCTGAACGAGAGTTACTTCCCTTATAAACAGATGACTTTCACTCGTTTGTTTACTTCCTGTTTGACATCTTGACAGTTAAAAATTGTGCTGTTTTTTTTTTTGAAAAATTATAATTAAACGGTGATATTGTCTAGGCCTACACAAAAAATATTCTCCTAATCACGGATTACCATGATGACATGGTTTTTATGACACTATGACGTCAAACCTCTGGGTCACTGAGGAGCCACGGTGGCTAGGTGGTTAAGACCCTGGATCGCTAGCCTGGAGGTCGGGTGTTTGATCCCTGCATTGGCCGAGAAAGTTCATCGGGATTTTCCGACGTGGTTTCCCCTTGTCAGTGGTGCATTGGTGACAAGGACAGCTGTCTAGTCCTTCAGATGATACGAAAAACTGAGGACTCGTGTATACATTGGAATGCATGGAAAAGATCCCCTGGCAGTTGGAATTCTATATAAGAGTAGGGGATAGTGCCGCTGTCCGGGCAAAATTTCCCTCATAGCACACTGTATGGCGTATTAGCCCAGTATAGGAGCAGAACAGTAGGACGTTAAACCCCCTTTCATTTCATTTCTGGGTCACTGAAAGGAACTAAACCATTTAGAGATTCAACTTTCATATTATTGTGTTTTTTTAAGCGATGCACGTAGCGCCGCTGTCCGGGCAAAATTCTTCAAATAATGAGCAGAGAATTTCGATAACTAAAATTCAGGCCTTTGAATAAAACAGAAATCTAATCCTCATACAAACAATGAAATTTTGAATATCTGAATAAAACTTGTGAGGCAAGAAACGGCAAAATAAACTATATGATAAATTTAAGTAAATTCAATTTTTATGATCAAATCAATGCGATTGTGTCTTTACTGATGTCATTTTCACGATTTCTGGACCTTGCACTGTACTTAGGGGCCCTGCTTCAGGAGTGTCCACCTCGCGTCTTCTCCCCTGAACTCAGGTTTTTTGGTTTTATTTCATTCTTTTGGTAAATTTAAAGGAATAAGAAGTTTTTAGGGAACTAGATTATTGTAATTCCCCAGTTTCATGTGGAATTTTTTTGATTTATTTATGAAATCTGATTTCTTGTAATTTTTTTTTCTCTTTTTCTCTCTACAGAGGAATGTAAGACCATTTATCATTGCATGTTAAAATATGTACAAACTCATTTCCAAATCATTGTAAACACAACACCAAACCTTTTCTTGAAAATAATCAATGTCTGGCCGTTATGAGTGGCCCAGCCAAAAGCAAGGTGCATCGATGTAAGCGTGGGTGTGCATGTTAAAGATCCCTTGATAGTTGGAATGTAATATAGAGTAGGTAGAATCAGCGCTGCCTGTGCAAAATTCTCCACTCTAGCATTTCAGCATAGTTTAAGAATGTCTGAAGTATTGGTGTTGAAAACACCTGATGCCATTTCCTTTCTGGAGTTCGGGGATCAAGGTGGCTGAGTGGGTAAGACGCTGGCAAAATTTCCCCCATAGCACACTGCATGGCGTATGCCCATCTTCATTAGCCCAGTTGGAGCATAACATTTCTCTGGATTTCACATTTTGAATTTACAAGGAATACTATTTTTGTGGTATAAAATCAAGGAATCGAAACTGGTTTGTAACAAAAGGTTTGGATTGTGTTTAAAGTGAGTTTTGGAAGAGATGTGTATATATTATTATAACAACTATTTTTATAAGTTATATTATACTTATAGTCAATGTTATTGTGTTTCTTATAATATTGTTATGGGCATTATGATAGATTTAGTTAAGCCTGGTATTGGGGCAACAGTCAAAGACAATGTCAGGCACAAATTCAAGCTTTGTCAGGCACAAATTCAGGCTCTATTAGGTACAAATTCAAGCTCTGTCAGGCACAGATTGAGGCTCTATTATTCAAGCTCTGTCAGTCACAGATTAAGGCTCTGTCAGTCACAGATTAAGGCTCTGTTAGGTACAAATGCAAGCTCTGTCAGGTACAGATTGAGGCCCTATTAGGTACTATCTCAAGCTATGTCAGGCACAAGTTCAAGCTTTGTCAGGCACGAATTGAGGCTCTATTAGGTACAATCTCAAGCTCTGTCAGGCACAAATTCCATCTTTGTCGCACACAAACCTTCTTGTGACTCTCATTTTTGCCGGCACATATTTGTCTTTTAGCCTTGTAGTGTTTTATTAATATTTTAAATAAATATATGACACAAAGTTTAGAATATCAGATAATGATTATCGCCTGACATTTGGTCAGGTACAAATAAAAATTGTTATTACCTGACAGGTAGATTAGTTACTGGGAGTGGCGTGTGATGTCTGCTTTTTATAGTTAGTTGGGAAATGGGTAGAGTCAAGTGAAGGGTAGTGTATTAATATTACCTGGGCCTACAAGAAACGACCTAGTTATTCTTTTAGCGGGTGGTGGATCAAGAAGAACGTTCAGGATTTTGTTAATTTCAATTCCAACTTGGCAGAAGTACTATCATGCTGTTTTATACATAATCTTTAAGTAGCATTTAACGATTGGAAAACATTAACTGAGCACAATTTTTATGGGAAACAATCACTTGTTTTATACCTAAGAAGACACTTGTGGAAACATTATGTCTTTAGAATAAAACCAGGAATTTGTTTCCCATAAAAATTGTGTACTGTTATTGTTTTGGTTTTTTTAAAAGCAGATAGATCTTCGGTATATTTAGGGGGTTTGGATGGCTGAATGGTTAGAATGTGCGCGCTTTATCACGAGACCTGTCATTGAGTCAACTTGCGTGGTTTTGAATCCCCGGTTGTACGTGACAAGGAGTAGGGTCGTTTGTCCAACCTCATGGGTTTTCTCCATGTCCTCTGGTTTCCTCCCATTGCTAAAAACTCCTACTCGCAAGCGAATTATAGAAATAAAATTAAACCATATGTTTGTCCATAAATGACCTAGTTTGTGTCGAGTGGACGAGTGGACGTTAAACCCTATTTCTCTCTCTCTCTCTCTCTCTCTCTCTCTCTCTCTCCCAATATTTTTACATCAAGGCTGTATGTGTATTGTCAATAGATTTGAAAGGGGTGGTCAGAAAATCTGTAGCGATTAGGGAAATAAGGAGTTACATGTGTAATGTTTATTGAGAAAAAATCCAGATTAGATTAATTTATGCTGGGAGACATTTGTGCTGATTTTTGTTGCATTAAGAGTTGCTTTTAATAATTCTGTTTGCAGAATGAAGTAAATTTGGCAGGCACTGTTTACTGTTACTTATTAACAATGTACTCACATAAACAAAGTCCATGGTCCAATCAATCTGGGATCTTCATGATTAAATCCATCAGAGATATCCATGGCCCCTTTGATCTGGAATGTCCATGATCCCATTAATCTGAGATCTCAATCCTCCCATCGATCGAAGATGTCCATGGCCCCTTTGATCTGGGATGTCATGGTCCCATTAATCTGAGATCTCCATGCTCCCATAAGGTACCTTATTGTAGAAATAGTATAGATCCCAGTCACTAGGTCCAACAGAAAGTTTTAATATCAATTATTGTGTGATGTCCTCGTGTTACAGGGCCATGATGTAATGAAATGTTTAAACAATATTTAAACTTTTGTTTTCAGAGTATATTTATTATTAATAAGCATGCAGCTATTTAGCCTGATTTATAAATCTAACTAATTAATAACAGCATGTTATCAAAAACAAATAGAGGTTATTTGTACACACAGTGTTTAAGATTGGGGTCCATTTTTGGGACGTCTCCGATGTTGTTTCCCCTATCTAGTAATTCGGATGAGATGAAAAACTGAGTTCCTGCACGTAAAAGATTCCTTGGCATTTGGTGAATTCAATATAAGAGTAGGCCATAGTGCTACTAACCAGGCAAATTCTCTTCATAGCACAAGTAAACCCCATTTCCTTTCATTTATTTGGTAGTGTCAGTTAGCTAGAATAAGAGGTCGTCAATTCCTATGAAGCGTTTACGAGATAATAGTAATTTATAATTACTGCCTGGTATACAGTATATACCAGGTAACCTTTATTCATAAACATTTCGATTCCCCGGTTGTACCTGAGGAGTAGGCTTGCCTGTCCAACCTTGTGGGTTTTCACTGGGTTCTCTGGATTCCTCCTACAGCAAAAGACCCCTACGTGCAAGCGAATTATTGAAATACAATTGAACCATATGTTAGTCCCGAAATGACCTAGTTTGTGTCGAGTGGACGCTAAACCCTATTTCTCTCTCCCTAACTCTATCGATAAACACTGTATGTGTAATAACCTCCTCCTATGAAATAATATATTTAACTACTTATTATACCACATATGTTACGTTACATGTAGCTTAGTTGTAAATAAATTTACTATTATCAAGCTACGCACCAATATTTTATCTAATATACTTGTTCAGATATACTTGTTCGAATATAGAAGCTGATTAATGATTTATCGAGCAAAACTTGTTTAGACTTAGGGAATCGGAGATCCTATTTTTATTACTATTCTTATCTCCAAGTGTCAGTCCACATGAAGTCATATTTTGTGTCTTTCATACCAGTAGAAGCCAAATTGGCTCAGTGTCGAAAGCACTTGCTCACTGAACAGGAGGTGGAAGGTTCAATCTTGGCTTTCGGCCATAAAAAATGACCACATGGGGAGCCACGGTTGCTCAGTGAGTGGCTTACTAACCAGGGGGTTGTGGGTTCGATCCCGTTATTTAGATGTAGATGTGTGGCTATTATAGTGGCAAACCAGGGTTATGATCGGGATCAACAATACTATAGTGTGCTTTCTCCCCACCCAAACTCTGTCATTGTCTTCTTACCTTCCTAGTATAACCTTTCTTGGTAGTGTATTGTAGCTGGGATAAATAAATACTGCCTCTGATTTTTAGAAACCAGAAAAGGACAGATATCGGAGTTGTTTTGACTACTTCTTGAGTCCATGTAATAATATGGGTATAACTACACTCACATTATCTGGTAGACAAAAAAAAGAGCGCAATATTTTTTTGAACAGATATTCAGAATTTGTGTTAAAAACCTCAGAGTACCTCCGCACAATTTATAGTCTTACGATGATTTGAAATAATTTAACATAGTAAACACAGTAATTCAAATATATGCAAATTAACAATATCCATGAATGAACAATCAACTTAACAATATCCTTATATGGAATATCAACTTAACCATTAAATGTAGATTTAGAATCTAAAGCTAACAAGTAATGATCAATAGTATATTATAACTTTTTTTCCAGTTATCAAAGTGTTAAATTTCAAGGTGTTAAAACCCCTTTGATTTAGTACGAAAATAAATTGTTGAATTGATTTCATCCAGATGTGTGATTATGATTGGTTTACCGCATGATTAATCAAAGGGTTAAGCAGGAGTCAGTGTGTTGCTGGTCTGAATCTTTTAAAAGTAGAAGGAGACTTTGTTAGTCCGAATGGCATGACCAAACTCCGGTCCACTTGTATTTAGATTGACAGTTGTAAATCAAAGGAAAATTGGCGAAAATGCCACTGTCTGTACAAAATTCTACTACAGCGGATTGTACACGAAACCATTGAAATAAAAAATACTCATATATTAGTCTCAAAATAACTGAACTATTTTGTTGAAGAGACTTTATGTAGAAGTGTAGAAGACACATTACAATCTTGTTAGTCATTACTATGATATGATAATCCAAAGTCCCGGAAACAGTGGGACATTAAACCCTCTATTTCATTTCATTGTAACCAATCACACAAGACAAATCAACACATCAAATTTAATCAAAGCAACACATTTGTTTTCTACCCATATCAAAATGGTTTAATCCATTCTAAGATCATTTAAAAAAAACAGCATTTGTTGAATTTATTTTACAGGTTTATAGTTGATAATAAGGAGACGTTCTTCTCGTCAGCACAGCGGGGATTAATCGCGTATCAGGTCTTGAGTAGATGTACGTATGAAGAGGCTTCAGACAAACGAAAGAGGAAGTTTGGTAAGTTTATTGAAAGTTTTAACAACGCAATTACAAGATATGATCCTCGGCAACAATCACATGCCCTAACCCTGTTTACATCTCGTGAATTTGAGGAAATCTGCAGGTGGCCTTAATATTTAGATCTGATCCTCACTTCCTGATCATAATAGCAAGTGCATGAGACACCGGTGGACAAGACACAGAAACTACACAGCTATTGCAAGTAATATAGGTGGGGGTTGGATAACCGAATGGTTAGCGCGTGCAAACTGTATCATAAGGTCTGTCATTGAGTCGACTGGTGTGGTATTGATTCCCTGTTGCAAGGAGTAGGGTCGCCAGTCCAACCTCATGGGTTTTCTCCAGGTCCTCTGCTCAAGTAAATTATTGAAATAAAGTTGAGCCATATGTTAGACCCGAAATGACCTAGTTTGTGTTGAGTGGACATTAAATGCACTGTTTCATCAGCTGTAAACAATAATTAATGCTTATTAACACTTGATATATTTAATTTCAGGTATTAAGAATTTAATTAATTCTGGAGTTTACCAAGCGGCATACCCCTTACATGAGGTAATAATACAGTTTATTTATTTACATTTATGATGTTAAACCCCATCTCTCTCTCTCTATCTCTCTCTCTCTCTATCTCTCTCTCTCTCTCTGTCTCTCGCTCTCTCTCTGTGTCTCTCTCTGTCTCTCTCTCTCTCTGTCTCTCTCTCTCTCTGTCTCTCTCTCTCTCTGTCTCTCTGTCTCTCTCTCTCTCTCTGTTATCTATAAGTGAGAATATATTTTATACTTCAGGGTGAATATCTGAGTCCCCATTCTCTACTGACCAGAGGCAAGAGTAATGATAGACATGTAAGTGTTGTTTTTATTTTATTAAAGATGTATTCCTCCCAACATAACTAGGTTGTCTATTTTATTAAAGATATATTCTCTACAACAAAATTATTTAATTTTATTAAATTCAAGATATGTTCCCTACAACATAACTAGGTTATATGTATTATTAAAGATGTATACCCTCCACCATAATTAGGTCATCTATTTGGCCCAACAAAACCTTTATAAAATTTCAACTCTAAATACTCATCTTTCAAAACTCTGATCTGTAAACAATCAGTGAATATAACACCCAATAGATCATATTTCTAATGAACAGGATAAGTAATAATCTAAATAAGATATATGTCATAATCTAAGTAAGATATAAGTTAAAATCTAAGTAAGATATAAGTTATAATCTAAATAAGATATATAATCTAAGTAAGATATACGTTATAGTCTAAATAAGATATACGTTATAATCTAAATAAGATATAAGTTATAATCTAAATAAGATTTGGCGCAATGGTTAGAGAGTAGGATTTGTGACCGAATGGTTGCAGGTTCGAGACCCGAATTGTGCGCCGAGTTCTTGTGTCCTTGAATAAGACACTTTATCCCTGTATTCCAGTCTACCCAGCTGTAAATGGGTACCGGTAGGATGGTGTGTGCATTATACAAAAAACTGTTGCGCTCCTTGAAGCAGCATATGTTGGGGCTCTTTCTAAGAGTTCAGGGGTAAAGGGAGGTAATCAGGCTTTACCTGTATCCTGGAGACAGGGATAATAATTGTGTAGCGCTTTGAGCATAAACTTGGTTTATGGATATAACGCATTATAAATATACTCATTAAAAATATACTCATTATAGATAATCTAAGTAAGATGTATGTTATAATCTAAATAAGATATAAGTTATAATCTAAATAAGATATACATTATAATCTTAATAAATATAAGATATAAGTTATAATCTAGATAAGATATAAGTTATAATATAAGTAAGATATAAGTTATAATCTAAGTAAGATATACGTTATAATCTAAGTAAGATATACGTTATAGTCTAAATAAGATATACGTTATAGTTTAAATAAGATATACGTTATAATCTAAGTAAGATGTATGTTATAATCTAAATAAGATATAAGTTATAATCTAAATAAGATATACATTATAATCTTAATAAGATATAAGATATAAGTTATAATCTAAATAAGATATAAGTTATAATCCAAGTAAGATATACGTTTTAATCTAAGTAAGATATACGTTATAATCTAAGTAAGATATACGTTATATTTCTAAGTAAGATATACATTATAATCTTAATAAGATATACGTTATAATTTAAATAAGATATAAGTTATAATCTAAATAAGATATAAGTTATAATCTAAATAAGATATAAGTTATACTCTAAATAAGATATACGTTATAATCTAAATAAGATATAATCTAAATAAGATATAAGTTATAATCTAATTAAGATGATAATGAATGTATAATATGTATTATTGTTTTTTTAGTTGCTGTATGAAACTTGGGCCAAACCCGGCCGATGGTACAAATATCAGCCACTTGATCATATTCGGTTAGTATGCAGCTCTGAATTCTTTATTACAGCAGTGGCTATAAATGAATAAGACGCAGAATCACTAACCAGGATGTCCCCAAGTTGATCCCAGTGTTGGCCAAGAAAGTACCTCTAGATTTTCCTGCCTGGCTTCCCCTCTGTCAGGACGGAGGAAATCCAAGGTCCCATGTACACATTAGAATGCACGTACAATAACCCTTGGCAGTCTTGAGTGGGTAAGACGCTGGTTCGCTAGCCTGGAGGTCAAGTGTTCGATCCCTGCATTGGCTGAGAAAGTTCATCAGGATATTCCAACATGGTTTGTGCCTTGTCAGTGGTGCAGGACAGAGGGACTGACAAGGACAGCTGTCTAGTCATTCGAATGGGACAAAAAACCGAGGTCCCATGTATACATTGTCGTACACGTAAAAGATTCCTTGGCAGTTGGAATTTGATACAAGTGTAGGCCATAGTGCTGCTGCCCGGGCAAAATTTCCCTCATAGCACACTGCATGGCGTATGCCCATCGTCATTAGCCCAGTAGGAGCAGAACAGCAGAACGTTGAACACCATTTCATTTTATTTTATTTTTTACAGGAAATATTTTGGTGAGAAGATCGGAATTTATTTTGCATGGTTAGGATATTATACAGCCCTACTTTTACCAGCGGCATTGATTGGTCTAGTAGTTTTCATCTACGGATGTGTCCGCCTGTTTGATGATACTGTAGGGTAGGTAACTCTGCTGACTTAACGGACTAAGACTAGTAATTACTGCATATGTTGGTTTATTAGATTACAGCAGCAACATGTGAGGTATATTGACTCAGACTAGCAAAACATCAACCAAAACATGCAGGAAAAGAGGAGTAGGTAACTCTGCTGACTTTGCTATAGCACGACTCTCATATCAAAATCTTATCACTGGTTTTTGTTTAATGGTGTAAGTATAATTGATGTGTTTTTCTGAAGGAGGAGGGCGGCAAATACAAGGATGGCATAAAATTTATAGTGAAACTCTTGTCGGTAATTTCACGATGTATCCACTATTTGTTTTATAACATAGTTAGACTTTTGTGGGTAATTTCACGATGTATCCACTATTCGTTTTATGACATAGTTAGACTTTTGTTGGTAATTTCATGATGTATCCACTATTCGTTTTATGACATAGTTAGACTTTTGTTGGTAATTTTACGATAGGTATAGAAATACAAACATGTTTCACAATATTTTTGAAAAACTACAGTGGAAAATTGCTCATTAAAGAACAGACCATGATGCAATATTTGTTTTATTACATAGTTAGGCTGGGGTCATTAATTTTAAGATGTATCCTCTAATTGACATAGGGGGGTTGGATGGCCGAATGGTTAGCACGTGCATGCGCTGTATCATAAGGCCTGTCATTGAGTCAACTGGCGTGGTTTCGAATCCCCGGTTGTACGTGACAAGGAGTAGGGTTGCCCATCCAACCTCGCGGGTTTTCTCCGGGTACTCCGGTTTCCCCCAACTGCTAAAGACCCCTACGCCAAAGCGAATTATTGAAATAAAATTAAACCATATGTTAGTCCCGAAATGACCTAGTCTGTGTTGAGTGGACGTTAAACCCCATTTCTCTCTAACTGACGTCTACTGTAAATTGTACCATATATACGTAGTGAGAGAGAGACAAATGGGGTTTAATGTCCACTTGACACAGACTAGGTCATTTCGGGACTAACACATGCTTCAATACTTTATTTCAATAATTCGCTTGCGCATAGGGGTCTTTAGCAGTGGGAGGAAACCGGAGGACCCGGAGAAAACCCACGACGTTGGACAGGCGACCCTACTCCTTGTCACGTACAACTGGGGATTCGAAACCACGCCAGTCGACTCAATGACAGACTTTATGATACAGCGCGCACTTGCTAACCATTCAGCCATCTAACCCCCCACGTAGTGAAATAGGTGTTGGTAATTTTACGATGCGTCCACAACGTAACATCATCAAGGCCTTGTATCATATTTTTAATGTTTCAGGAAAGAAATCTGTGATGAGAACGGTGTCGGTAATTTTACGATGTGTCCACTATGCGATGTTCGCTGTACCTTCTGGAAATTAAAGAAATCGTGTACATATTCTAGAGCTACCTACATCTTTGATAATGAAGCTACAGTATTCTTCGCTGGATTCATGGCCCTGTGGGGTAAGTAGTCATTGTTAGGATCCAAGACAGCACGGTACAAGCTCTAATAACAGTAAGGTTGCTGGCCCAACCTCATTGGTTTTCTACAGGTCCTCCACCAACTGCTAGAGAGGAGTTGGATGGCTGAATGGTTAGCATGTGCGTGCTGTATCATAAAGTCTGTCATTGAGTCAACTGGCGTGGTTTTCGATTCCACGGTTGTACGAGATAAGGAGTAGAGTTGTCTGTTCAACCTTGTGGGTTTTCTCCGGGTCCTCCAGTCTCCTCCCACTGCTAAAGACCCCTACGCACAAGCAAATTATGGAAATAAAATAGATCCATATGTTAGTCCCGAAATGACCTAGTCTGTTTCGAGTGGACGTTAATCCCCATCTCTCTCTCTCTCTTTCTCTCTCTCTTTCATGAAAGTGAGTGTTCAACCACAATTGACAATTTCAAAAGGGATTACATTAAAGCTCCTGGCAACATGCATTTGTCAGCGATAACAAGTATTCGTATATAAAGTCTTATACAAATATAATATTCTGAACAATCTCCTTAAAGATACCTTCCCACGTATAAACTGAGTGATTTGGTGATATATTTGGACTAAAAACATATTCAAACTAATTAATCTATCAAAATTTGCTTCAAATCCCTATCAAAATTCTGTATTCATAGGGAGATACCCCAAACTATAAAAAAATCTGTTTTTGTCCCCCGCCTTTCGAAGAAAGCAGGGGACTATTAAAATGAGTTCGTCCGTCTGTCTGTCTGTCCGTCTGTCTGTCTGTCCGTCCGTCTGTCTGTCCGTCACACTTTTTGGGACACAATAACTCTCTTCCTAATTGAGCTAGAATGTTCAAACTTGGTGTATGTGTTTATTAGGTCAATGCCTTGATGGAGTTCGAAGATGAGCATTTTCCGCTTAGGGTAAGCAGAGATAAGCAATTTGATTGGTTGATGCTTTGGGACACGATAACTCTCTTCCTAATTGGGCTAGAATGTTCAAACTTGGTGTATGTGTTGATTAGGTCAATGCCTTGATGGAGTTCGAAGATGAGCATTTTCCGCTTAGGGTAAGCAGAGATAAGCAATTTGATTGGTTGATGCTTTGGGACACGATAACTTTTAATTGAGCTAGAATGTTCAAACTTGGTGTATGTGTTTATTAGGTCAATGCCTTGTCCTATTTCGGCGGGGGACATCAGCCTCACTGTTGGCTTGTTAGAAGCCATGTTTGTGACCTACATTGATTGAGGCAGGGTCCATTTTTCAGAATGTATTTGTCATTACTTTCTGTCCATGTACCATACATATTGAGGCCTAAGTAAATTCTTGAAGTATTTTCTGCCAACTTCTATAGACTCAAGTCTCACGTACTTAATGAACGTGAATATATAGTTATACATAAAAAACAGTTATCAAAGACCTGCAGAAATTAGGGGTATAAATTAGGGGGTATAGGAGGTATAAATTAGGGTGTAGAAGCAAGTTGGATCAGAGCTCACCTAGAAATTCCTATCAGCCATTATTATTGAGAACGAGGAACCTGCAAAGCCATTACATCTTAGCAATAAAGTTGTAAAACTATTTTATGCTGTAGTCTTGTTTACGGTCAGCAGGAAATAAGCACAACAAGAAAGAAGTCCTATAGTACTACAAATAACCACCCGATAAATACTTTCGTGAGAATATATGTATCTTTAAGGTTTGGTTGTTCTTTTCAGCGACATTTTTTCATGAGATGTGGAAACGGAAACAAGCTGAAATAGAGTACGATTGGGATGTGGCAGATTTTGAACAGGAGGTAATTATCACTGTAATTTGGTTACCGTTTAATCTTGTGTATGTAGCACTAATTTCTTTCACATTCGTTTAATATCAAATCTTTGTTTAAAAATGGGGGGTTGGATGGCCGAATGGTTAGCATGTGCGTGCTGTATCATAAAGCCTGTCATTGAGTCAACTGGCGTGGTTTCGAATCCCTGGTTGTACTTGACAAGGAGTAGGGTCGCCTGTCCAACCTCGTGGGTTTTCTCCGGGTCCTCCGGTTTCCTCCCACTGCTAAAGACCCCTACGTGCAAGCGAATTATTGAAATAAAAATTAAACCATATGTTAGTCCTGAAATGACCTAGTTTGTGTCGAGTGGAGTTAAACCCCATTTATCTCTCTCTCTCTCTCTCTCTCTCTCTCTCTCTCTTGTTTAAAAATTTAGCACTAATTTCTTTCACATTCATTCAATATCAAATCTTTGTTTAAAAATTCCTAAAAATCATTTAAAACCACCCATAGTCATCTAATTTGTACTTGTGTCCAGTTTAAAGCTGACTGATTAATTTTGATAATGAGTGTCCAATTTACAAGTATTTAATTTCCTGACCACTGTTCAAAAATTAAACATTATACATCATTAATCAATTGGGTTGTTTATTTGGTGTGTTCCCACTTAGTCATTACTAAAGTCGGTAAGATAAAAACATAATCTCGATTATCCATTTCATGATTAAATCATGAATGAAAATTGAGCAGCAAATGGGATCCTAATCCAGTAAATAACGCAGGCTAGCGAGAGTTGATTTTGATCTGGATCAGTTAATTAATGTATCTTTAATAATTTATATAACATTTCAGGCCTAAAGAAAGAACTGAAATAGGCAGATTTAGCTCTTGTATCATATGTTTAATATATATTTCAGTGTCTAATGTCTTACTAATTATCTGGGGGTTGATGGCCCGAATGGTTAGCATGTGTGTGCTGTATCATAAGGTCTGTCATTTGAGTCAACTGGTTGTACGTGACAAGGAGTAGGGTCGCCTATCCAACCTCGTGGGTTTTCTTCAGGTCCTCCGGTTTCATCCCACGTCTAAAGATCCCTATGTGCAAGTGAATTATTGAAATAAAATTGAACCATGTGTTAGTCCCAAAATGACCTAGTTTGTGTTGAGTAGACCATCAACCCTCCCTCTCTCCCTCTGTCCCTCTCTCTCTCTCCCTCTGTCCCCCTCTCTCTCTCTCTTCTTGATGATCAGGTACATGATTAAAAGGAATATAGGCCTAAAGAAGATCAGGTTTTTTTGTCATGTTATGGTAATTGGTAAGTGCTTGCTGTGTCATGTGATGTTAATTGGCAAGTTCTTGTTGGGTGATGATAATTGGCAAGTGCTTGCTGGGTGATGATAATTGGCAAATTCTTACTGGGCCATGTGATGTTAATTGTTTTACACATCTCTCCTTATAAATATCTTCATCTATAATTTTTATGTTGGGTAATTTTTAGGAAAATATCCGACCAGAATATGAGGCTCAGGTGAGCACGACAAAGAAGAATCCAATTAATCAGGTAAGATTATTTTCTATATTTGTTCCCAAATCTGTGGTTTTAACCCTTTAACCCTAAGGCTCCTTAAACCACCTGTTACCTGCATAGCTGTGGCGAAACCCAAAATCGTCCAATAATACGGAAAACTGTTCAAATATCTCCGGTGGTTTAGGGCGATCTAAGGATCAACAGTTTAGGTCTCTCCTGGGCCCTGTTTCTTGAAATCTTAACTTACGATATAAATCCAAATTTTAGTAGATACTTCAATTTTGATTGGCTCTGCACTAAAATCAATCTAATATTATCCAATCAAATTACTAAAATTTGAATTTTATCTTAATTAATGGTATTAATGTTTCACTTCACTTGGACAGTTATTATTTATATACATGTATCAAGTGTTATAGGGTTAAAGATACATTATGGAAGATTAGATAAAGAGCTGGCAGTTCTCACTATAATAGTTAAAAACTAGATAATGTAAAGGCAATTTGCTGAAAATTTCAGTTAAATAGATCCACTATGAAACGAGAATGAAGCGATTGCAATTTCGACTTAGCCTCGATCATCATTAATAAAGTCTGTAAGATAAAAACATAGTCTCGATTATCCATTTCATGATTAAATTATGAATGGAAGTCGAGCAGCAAATGGGATCATAATCCTTTAAGTATCGCAGGCTAACGATGACATCGAGAGTTGATTATAGTCTGGATAAGTTAATTAATATCTAATTAATAATTTAGATAACATTTCAGGCCTAAAGAAAGATTTAGCTCTTGCATAATGTATGTTTAATTGTATGTTATGTTATATTCTAGTGTGTACTATAAGTAACATACATAGTTGATATTTTTGATAGTAGTATAGGATTTTTTTATATGTGTGTGGATTTTTTTTGGAATGTTAGTTTATAATTTATAGAGTTTTTATATTCATCCTTGTGCACCTTGGATTTTGATAACATATTGTTGTTGTCCCCGTCTGTCCGTCCATACGTCATTTACAATTTCTTGTGGATGCTATAGAGCAGTGGTTCTCAACCTCTTTCTGCCACCGGCACACCTTGGAACATATGAAAAAATAGCGGCACACCTGGCTAATATGAAAAATATTTGAATTTTGCAAAATAAAAACATGGCAAGTCAAAGACGGCTTACAACCATAGACAGAGACTAGTGATAGACACATAGAATGACTCTAACTAAATAAAGAAAAACGCAGCTATGAAGTTACCAGTAGACACCAGTGAATACTCAATTAGGATCACATGTTTTTTTCGCATTTTCTTAGTGTACCGTTCAAAATTTCACGGCACACTTAGGAAGATCTGGCGGCACACCTGTGTGCCCCGGGACACTGGTTGCGAATCACTGCTCTAGAGTTTAAAGTTAACGTCAGATTAACCTGAAATGTATGCCCAGTGTTAGTGTTCATGAAGAAATGAAGAAGCTATTAATTTCTTTCAGAGTTATTGCCCAAATAGCTATATTTTTGATTGACTTAAGCCATTGATAAGATTTCATACAATGAAGAGTAGTGCACATGAAGGATCCCTCAGTGGTTGGAATTTCAGAATTTATAAAAGAGTAGATGAACACGCCACTGCTTAGGCAAAATTCACACTTGCTTTGCACACAAATCATAGAAAGTACCACATGTTAAGGTGTGTTTGTTATTGGTCGTGATTACATTCAAGGGCACGTAAACAAAAAAACTGGCAATCTGAATTTGAAGAAGATTATTTTGGGTCGCAAAATGCACAACAACTCTATTGATGCTTCGAGGTTTCACCGCAAGCAACCAAACACACCATTGGTGCTGTTTCTATTGACGCTTCGATGTTTCACCGCAAGCAACCAAACACACCATTGGTGCTGTTTCTATTGACGCTTTAAGGTTTGGCTGCAAGCAACCAACACGCCATTGGTGCTATTTCTATTGACGCTTCGAGGTTTGGCTGCAAGTAACAAACACACCATTCATGCTGTTTAACCGCAAGCATCAATCACACCGTTGGTGGTGTTTCTCCGGGCGATTTGAGACTTCACCACAAACAACAAACACACCATTGACACTGTTTCTTTTGACGCTTCGATGTTTCACCGCAAGCAACAAACACACCATTGGTCCATCAATGAACAAAATATTTATCTTTAATGGACATTAAATTGGCTTTTATCTTTTTCAAAGCACTTTCCCCAGTTGAACCAATATTTAAGTGGTATTTTTTTTGTTTTTTTTTTTCACCTGACATTTTTACAGAGATCAACGTCGTCTCAATGCTCTTCTACTTCATCACCTTATAGAGATCCAGTAAATTTAAAATTTATTCCCAAATTTATCCTCGGCGTTGATTCTCAAAAAAACAAGCCCATTATACATTTTGAATTCAACCTTGATATGTCTTCATGGGAGTCACAGTGAGTCAGTGAGTAGGACGTTGTAGGTCCCTAGTTGGATCCCTGCATTGGCCGAGAAAGTTCATCTGGATTTTCTGGCGTGGTTCCACCTTCTCAGTGGCGTAGGATGGAGTGCCTGGCAAAGGACAGCGTATAGTTGTTTTATGTGGCGTGCACGTAAAAGAACCCTTGACAGTTGGAATTAGAAATATGAGTAGGCTATAGCGCCTCAATTTCATTTCATAAATGGTTGTTATGGTTTTTTCGTATGCTTATATACGGCAGGGGGGGGGGGGGGCGAATGGTTAGCACGTGTGCGCTGTATCATAAGACCTGTCATTGAGTCAACTAGCGTGGTTTTGAATCCCCGGTTGTATGAGACAAGGAGTAGGGCCGCCTGTCCAACCTCGTGGGTTTTCTCCAGGTCCTCTGGTTTCCTCCCACTGCTAAAGACCCCTACGCACAAGCGAATTATTAAAATAAAATTAAAAACCATATGTTAGTCCCGAAATGACCTAGTCTGTGTCGAGTGGACGTTAAACCCCATCTCTCTCTCTATATGTACGGAAGAACTAGCCGTTCCAGATGTGCCTAGAGTATTTCATAGGTTTTTAAAATGTATTTTTGGTTTAGTTTTAAAGAGATGACTCACTCCATGCTTTAGATTTATGTCGTGTCAAACTTTTCTATTTTACGATCATAATTTTATTTTTATTGTATTTTTTCATTATTCAAATTTTGAATTATTTTACCAGGCAAGAAGCCTTCTTTTACTCGAGGTAGTTTTCTTGGTTTTTTATTGACGTCTCTAATTGCAAATCCTGAAACCCCTTAAAACTGTAAATGAATGTGTAATGAAGGGATTTCTGAATGTTCTGTAATAACAAATTATTAATAATTTACTAATAACAAATTATTAATTTGTGAAGTAACAAAGTAATCATAATAACAAAAATTTACAAATGTGTTTGAATATTAACAACTAATGAGAATTTACTAATTGAATATTGACAACTAATGATAATTTACTAATTGAATATTAAGAACTTATGATAATTTACTAATTGAATATTAAAAACTGATAAATATTATGACACGTTAGTCATACTGAGAAAAAACCCCAAGAAATTATTGAATTAATTGAGTCCTGATTTCAATCAGCATATTTATGTTTTCTGTTAGTCTCGAAATGACCTAGTTTGTGTTGAGTGGAGATTATACCCTATTTTTCTCTCTGTCTCTCTGCATTTTTCTTGGTAATTTCTAAATTTTCACAGCTGAATGCCTGTTGATTTGCATTAATCAGTGTAAAATCAGTTCCTCAGCTCCGCCCCCTAGTGGCTACTGATTGGCAGGATTTGTTAGAATGAAATGCTGCCGATTTCAAAATGGCTGTTGAGTTTTACCAGAGATAAAGGAAGGGGGGAGTTATCTGTGGGATCGATATTGATTAGTTTCATGATTCAATAATTTCTGAGGATGGCTGAATGGTTATCATGTGCGCGTTGTATCATAAGGTCTGTCATTGAGTCAACTGGCGTGGTTTCGATTCCCCAGTTGTACATGACAAGGAGTAGGGTGGCCTGTCCAACCTCGTGGGTTTTCTCCGGGTTCTCCGGTTTCCTTTCCTTGCTAAAGACCCCTACGTGCAATCGAATTATTGATATAAAATAAAACCATATGTTAGTCCTGAAATGACCTAGTCTGTGTCAAGTGGATGTTAAACCCATTTCTCTCTCTCTCTCTCTCTCAAACCTGGTGTGTAGTACTGTGGTTTTGAGAGGACGAACCCTATTGACATGATTACTTGCATTTTATAAACGATTTATGAAGCTTTTCCGGTGAGCTTTAACCCCTTAACTGTGTAATTAATTTGACGTAAACTACCCCCTATTGCGTAATTAATTTGACGATAAACGTCATATTTGGGCCTATTTTTTCCTGAATACAAACAGTAAATAGAGTTGTCTCCCTTCAATTAGATTTCCTCGACCAGGCGTAATATAACGTCTTACAAATTGTGAGATTGTGTTCGAAGAATAGGTTGGAGAAAATATCTCCAGGACGTTATATTACGTCCTACACACGGTGAGTAGCAGTTGTCCAGGACGTTATATAACTTCCTACGCAGTTAACGGGTTAACAACATTATTTGTTGCTTGGTGGGTCGTCGGGGTGTTATTTAACCTCTGATTCCACCATCATGATATGACTGACAAGCTTGGGTTGACATTCTACTAATAATAACGATAATCTTTTCAATTATTTTTTATGTTAATGTTAATATTAAAGATACATTATGAGAGATTAGATAAAGAGCTGGCTATAATAGTTCAAAAACTAGATACAGTAAAAGCAATTTGCTGAAAATTTCAGTCAAATTGATCCACTCTGAACCGAGAATTTAGCGATTGAATTTTCAGCCTAGCCTAAATCATCATTACTAAAGTTGGTAGGATAAAAAACATAGTCTCGATTATCCATTTCATGATTTAATCATGAATGAAAGTTGAGCAACAAACCGGATCTTAATCCAGTATATATCGCAGGCTAGCGATGACACTGAGAGTTGATTATGATCTGGATAATTTAATTAATGTCTAATTGATAATTTAGATAACATTTCAGGCCTAAAGAAAGACCTGCAATAGGCAGATTTAGCTCTTGCATAATGTATGTTTAATATTGATATTAAACACTAAACACTCCTTCTTCAAATTTGAATTTTACTATTATATTTTATTAAATTTTAGTTGCTTAGCAAGGTAATCTTATGCTTATTGTTCTAGTAAAGTAGTGTTTTATTCTTTCGTAGTTTCTGCTTGCACATATGTATTCATTCCTATTTTATTTCAATATGCATGATTATCACTTAGTTTATTTTTTTCCTGCTTCTTAAGTTTTATGCTTGAATATTTAAACTTCAACTTTGAACTCTTCAGAAATCTCTTAGATTGCCTTTTGTTACAGTGAATGACTTCTTGCTTTCAGTGGAAATGAAACCAACACCCTTTCACCCTTTCAGGAATGTCCACTATTGTTTTGATGTATTGGTAATCTGGGTTTTTATGTATAAAAGAGTTCCTGTGGTGTGAGGACTCTGTGAGGAGTGGAGTAACACTCAAAAAATGACTTTTGGTTTTGATTTCCTTTATTTTGTTTCTAAACAACAAGATTATAAGTAAATTTTGCATAGTTTTGAGAAGAAATATTGGAGCCCACAAGCATCCTCGAATACTACGCAGGACGGAGGACCTGACAAGCACTGCTGTCAAGTCGTTCAGATGGATGAAAAATCGAGTTCCTGTATACACATTGGCGTGCATGTAAAAGATCCCTTGGCAGTTGGAATTTGATATAAGAGTAGGTCGTAGTGCCGCTGTCCGGACAAAATTTCCCTCATAGCACACTGTATGGCGTATGCCCGTCTTCATTAGCCCAGGTTAGGAGCAGAACAGTAGGACGTTTAACTCCATTTCATTTCATTTCGAATACTACGAAGTGAGAATGGATTTCAAAGATGACAACTGGGATAAATGAGTGTTGTCAAGTGGCGTGGTTTCGATTCTCAGCTTGTACATGACCAGGAGTAGGATGGCATGCCTAATCTCATGGGTTTTTTCCGGGTCCTCTGGTTTCATCCCACTACTAAAGACCCCTGCACACAAGTGAATTATAGAAATAAAATTGAACCATATGTTAGTCCCGAAATAATCTCTCTCTCTAAAAGAGAGTAATCAATAAATCAATAATTCAAACAATCAATCAATAAATCAATAATTCAATCAGTCAATCAATATTATTGTTGAACTTTTGTCATTGAGATTTATTATGTCCATACAGGTGACAGATGAACGATGGGCGAGAATAATTGAAAGAGTAAAAAAAAAACAATATTTGTTTAGAGTTATATTGTTTTTGTTTTAGATTTTATAACGTTGCCAGGAGTTAGGGTGGCTTAATGGTTAATGCATGCACGCTGTATCAGAAGGTCTTTCATTGAATCAACTGCCGTGGTTTCGAATCCCTGCTTGAATTTAACAAGGAATAGGGTTGACAGTCCAACCTCGTGGGTTTTTTCTGGGTCCTCCGGTTTCCTCCCAGTGCTAAAGTCCCCTACTTGCAAGCAAATTATTGAAATGACCTAGTCTGTGTCTAGTGGACATTAAACCCCATTTCTCTCTCTCTTTCTATATCGTTGCCCACAATGTGGGTTTATTTTGAGATGTTTATCTCAAATCTCCCAACATACCTGTATGAAACTTTGTACGCACATAAACCTTTTTTGCTAATTTTCACGTTTCCATGGAAACTAATTTTTTGTTTTTAAAATTCCCAAAAGGACAGATTTGGGGGAATGTATTGTTAGGGATTTTATAAGGTGTTAGATAAAAGTGATATTACGACCCCTTTGGCATAGCCAATAAACACTCCTGTTTTGACTCTGGGTGGGGGGGGGGGAAGGTAGGGAGGGCGGGCAGTGTTTAATTCTTTATGGAAAGTTTTTATTCCACTTTAAATATCTTCTTCAATTTCTGTTATGTTTATTTATAGTTTAGTTAAAAAACATTTTTTGGTCTTAAACTGTTGGGTTGGATGGCTGAATGGTTAGCACGTGCGCCCTCTACTAAGGTCTGTCATTGAGTCAACTGGCGTGGTTTTCGATTCCCCGGCTGTATGTGACAAGGAGTAGGGTCGCCTGTCCAATCTCATGGGTTTTCTCAGGGTCATTGGTGCAGAATTTAGGGCCTGGCTGGGACAGCTGTCTAGTCATTCAGATGGGATGAAAAACTGAGGACCCTTGTTTTCATTGGCGTGTATGTAAAAAAATCCCTTGGCAGTTGGAATAGCACACTGTATGGCAGAACAGTAGGACGTTAAACATTCCAGTGCCATAGGTTAGCCACCTTGGTAATGATGATATAGTGGGGTGGGGTGGGTGAAATGATTGAAAGAGTAATTTACCAAAGATATTACTTTAATATCAAATTATATATTTTATAATATATATTTTATGTCTCTGAGCTGATGTCAGGGGTGTTGTCATGGAAACTGATGCCAGACGTGTTGTCATGGAAACTGATGTCAGGGGTGTTGTCATGGAAACTGATGTCAGGGGTGTTGTCATGGAAACTGATGCCAGGGGTGTTGTCATGGAAACTTATACAAATACAATAAATCAGCAACATGTTGGATAACGGTAGATTCTATTGTAGGCTTATTATATTAATTTTATGCATCGTCCCACTTATTAATATTTTATATTTTGTATATTTCAGATGGAAGAGCCTCACGTTCGGTTTGCTCATCGTGTGTGTCGATTTGCTTCTTCATTTATAACCGTGGTGTTTATGGTAATTTATGATATATGCCTACTATTTCTAGAACACCTTATACCACTGTCATTTATAATCAGGGTGTTTAGAACACTTATGAGGTTGAGGGGCCAAATGCACATTTGTCAATGAGTCAACTGGTGTGGTTTCGGTTCCCCGGTTGTACTTGACAAGGATTAGGGTCACCTGTCCAACATCGTGTGTTTTTTCCAGATCCTCTGGTCTTCTCCAACTGCTAAAGACCCCTAAATGCAAGTAAATTGAACCATATGTTAGTCCCAAAATGACCGGTTTCCTCCCACTGCTAAAGACCCCTATGCACAAGCGAATTATTGAAATAAAATTAAACCATATGTTAGTCCCGAAATGACCAAGTCTGTGTCGATTGGACATTAAACCCCATTTCTCTCTCTCAAGTGATTCGTGACAATATATATATATATATATATAGTTATTTACGTTGCTAACAAGAGACATCACGATTAATCACAAGACCTTTAAACATGGAATTATGTGCGGTTTCAGGGTCGAGAGCGAGACATTGCGTAATATATTGAAACAACACAAGGGAGGTAAGTCACAAGTGTTGTGACTAATATATTACGCAATGTTTTAAGCTCGAGACCAATTAAACAACTTAAAATACAGACACTCGCACGTGCTTTGCAATGAAATTGTCACACAGGTCCAAAATTTCAAGTTCATCCAGATTTTCCGACGTGGTTTCCCCTTGTCAGTGGTGCAGAACGGAGGGCCTGACAAGGACAGCTGTCTAGTCCTTCGGATGAGACAAAAAACCAAGGTCCTGTGTATATATTGGAATGCACGAAAAAGATCCCCTGGTAGTTGGAATTCGATATAAGAGTAGGCGATAGTGCCGCTGCCCGGGAAAAATTTCCCTCATAGCACACTGTATGGCGTATGCCCGTCTTCATTAGCCCAGTGTAGGAGCAGAACAATAGGACGTTAAACTCCATTTCATTTCATTTCATTTCCAAAATTTCAAGTATCAATAATGTACGCTTGGCACATTGCCTGTATCATTATTTAAAATAATGATGATGTCATATCTGTATTTTGAATGTAAATATTGGTCAGTATCAATGTGTATATTTTGTTTTTCTCCTCCTAGTTATGTTTGGTTGTTGCTGCTGCGTTTGGTGTGATTGTGTACCGTGTGACAGTAGCAGCCATTTTCTACAGCGTGGACCAGGAAGAAATCAGTGCACGAGCCAATCTTATTACAACTATTACGGCAGCTATTATTAATTTGATCATCATCGTTATTCTCAGTTGGGTACGAACATTTTCATTTTTATGCGCCTGCATTTAACTCTGGTTTTATATTATTGCCTAAAATCTGGCCATCACCCCCATCCGTCGACAACACAATTGGAGCTATCGTTATTCTCAGTTGAGTACGAACATCTTCATTTTTATACAGCTACATTGAAATCTGGGCCCTGTTTCTCAAAATCTTAACTAAAGATAAACTCAAAACTTTAGTAGATGCTTCAATTTTGATTGGTTAAGCACTAAAATCAGTCTAATATTATCCAATCAAATTACTAAAATTTTGATTTTATCTTAGTTAAAATTTTGTGAAACAGACCCCTGGTTGTACATTAGTAATGATAATCATTGTCATTTTCTAGAGCGCTAAACATGCGAACAGTTTGACTGCTCTGATGCTCTTTAAAAGGTATAGAACATGGATAACGAGCACATGCTCTCCAATCTGACTAAAATAAAGATCTATATTTCGTTTCGTTTTTTTATACTTTCGATGGCCTACACTACATGAAGATCTGACAAGTTATAGCGATAGGTCACGTCAGGGGTCAAAAGACCGACTTATGACCCTATGATGTCAGACATTTGATTAACCAATCAGCATTGATGTTACTAGTGGATTACCCACAGTTCCGTGCAAAATACGCCTAAAGATCGCCGTAACAGACCGTTTCATTGGCTTATCCCTGACACCATTCAGAACACGAGTTAAATAACAACTCTTCCAGATCCAAGTGTAGTAAAGACAAGTAAAACGAAATTTTGAACTATAAAAACGAAACGAAATAGGATCTGTGTTTTAACCAGATTGCATGCTCTGTGGTGCTTTGGGGAATGGTTAGCATGTACGCGCAGTATCATAAAGTCTGTCATTGAGTCAACTGGGCGTGGTTTCGATTCCCTGGTTGTACATGACAAGGAGTAGAGTTGCCTGTCCAACCTCGTGGGTTTTCTCCGGGTTCTGCAGTTTCCTCCCACTGCTAAAATATCCCTATTGAAATAAAATTATTGAAATAAAATTAAACCATATGTTAGTGTCTAGTGGACGTTAAACCCTCTCTCTCTCTCTCTCTCTCTCTCTCTAGTTTATGTTGAGAGGGTTAAACCCCATCTCTCTCTCTCTCTCTCTCTCTCTCTCTCTCTCTCTCTCTCTCTAGTTTATGTTGAGAGGGTTAAACCCCATCTCTCTCTCTCTCTCTCTCTCTCTAGTTTATGTTGAGAGGGTTAAACCCCATCTCTCTCTCTCTCTCTCTCTCTCTCTCTCTCTAGTTTATGTTGAGAGGGTTAAACCCCATCTCTCTCTCTCTCTCTCTCTCTCTCTCTCTCTCTCTCTCTCTAGTTTATGTTGAGAGGGTTAAACCCCATCTCTCTCTCTCTCTCTCTCTCTCTCTCTCTCTCTCTCTCTCTCTCTCTCTCTAGTTTATGTTGAGAGGGTTAAACCCCATCTCTCTCTCTCTCTCTCTCTCTCTCTCTCTCTCTCTCTCTCTCTCTCTCTCTCTCTTTAGTTTATGTTGAGAGGGTTAAACCCCATCTCTCTCTCTCTCTCTCTCTCTCTCTAGTTTATGTTGAGAGGGTTAAACCCCATCTCTCTCTCTCTCTCTCTCTCTCTCTCTCTCTCTCTCTCTCTCTCTTTAGTTTATGTTGAGAGGTTTAAACCCCATCTCTCTCTCTCTCTCTCTCTCTCTCTCTCTCTCTCTCTCTCTCTAGTTTATGTTGAGAGGGTTAAACCCCATATGTTAGTGTCTAGTGGAGTTAAACCCTCCCCTCTCTCTCTCTCTCTCTCTCTCTCTCTCTCTCTAGTTTATGTTGAGAGGGTTAAACCCCATATGTTAGTGTCTAGTGGAGTTAAACCCTCCTCTCTCTCTCTCTCTCTCTCTCTAGTTTATGTTGAGAGGGTTAAACCCCATATGTTAGTGTCTAGTGGAGTTAAACCCTCCTCTCTCTCTCTCTCTCTCTCTCTCTAGTTTATGTTGAGAGGGTTAAACCCCATCTCTCTCTCTCTCTCTCTCTCTCTCTCTCTCTCTCTAGTTTATGTTGAGAGGGTTAAACCCCATCTCTCTCTCTCTCTCTCTCTCTCTCTCTCTCTCTCTCTCTCTCTCTTTAGTTTATGTTGAGAGGGTTAAACCCCATCTCTCTCTCTCTCTCTCTCTCTCTCTCTAGTTTATGTTGAGAGGGTTAAACCCCATCTCTCTCTCTCTCTCTCTCTCTCTCTCTCTCTCTCTCTCTCTCTCTCTCTTTAGTTTATGTTGAGAGGTTTAAACCCCATCTCTCTCTCTCTCTCTCTCTCTCTCTCTCTCTCTCTCTCTAGTTTATGTTGAGAGGGTTAAACCCTATATGTTAGTGTCTAGTGGAGTTAAACCCTCCCCTCTCTCTCTCTCTCTCTCTCTCTCTCTCTAGTTTATGTTGAGAGGGTTAAACCCCATATGTTAGTGTCTAGTGGAGTTAAACCCTCCTCTCTCTCTCTCTCTCTCTCTCTAGTTTATGTTTAGAGGGTTAAACCCCATATGTTAGTGTCTAGTGGACGTTAAACCCTCTCTCTCTCTCTCTCTCTAGTTTATGTTTAGAGGGTTAAACCCCATATGTTAGTGTCTAGTGGACGTTAAACCCTCCTCTCTCTCTCTCTCTCTCTCTCTCTGTCTCTCTCTCTTGAATAATGCCTGTTTAAATCACACCACCTTTAATAATAGACACGAGTTGTCTGAGCGGCTCAGTGAGTAAATACTGGGATGTCTCTCGGGTTGTTGGCAAAGAACGACGTTCATCTGCTTTCTGATTAAAACAAAGATCCTATTTCCTTTCGTTTTTATAGTTCAAAAGTTGTTATCATCGACGTGTTCTGAATTGTGTGAGGAATTAGCCAATGAAACGGTCTGTTACGGCAAGCTTTAGGCGTGTTTTGCACGGAACTGTGGGTAATCCACTAGTAACATCAATGCTGATTGGTTAATCAAATGTCTGACGTCATAGGGTCAAAAGACGCTTGTATGACCTCTGACGCGACATATCGCTACAACCGACCCGATCTTCACGTAGTGTAGGCCATCGAAAGTGTTAAAAAATGAAACGAAATATAGATCTGTATTTGAATCAGATTGTGTTATCTGGGATTTTTCTTGTTGATGGTGCAGGATGGACTACCTCTCAAGGAACGGTGTCAAGTTGTCCATTTGGAAAGAAAACTCTCAGGTTCTGTGTTGGAATTCGAAATAAGAGTAGGCTGTAATGCTGCTGCCTTGGCAAAATGTAAAACATAAAATGCTGCTGCCTTGGCAAAATGTAAAACATAAAATGCTGCTGCCTTGGCAAAATGTAAAACATAAAATGCTGCTGCCTTGGCAAAATGTAAAACATAGAATGCTGCTGCCTTGGCAAAATGCTGCATGGCGTATGACTGCTTTGATTAGCCTGGTTCGAACAGAAAAGTAGGATGTTAAACCCCATTTCATTTGGTTTGTTTTTAGGTTTATCTACAAATTGCAACATTCTTGACAAATTTTGGTGAGTAGTCATTTTAATTATACATACAGGTGTTTATTGTCAACAATGATACCTGTATTACCTGAGGAATACAGAACAGGTGTCTCCCATATTCCTGAAGCAATGGTCAGAGATATCCCTCTCTGCATGAAATGAGAGAAGACCGTAGCGCCATTGTCGTAGCAAACTTCCCCGCAAAGCACAGTCCATGGCATATACCCATCTTCCTTCGCTCAATTAGAACAGAAATTAGGACTTAAATCCTATTTCACTTTATTTCTATTATTATGTGTTCTTGACTTCATCACTTTGATTATGGCCGGGGTTTGGGTGCAAGAATAGTTAACGTGTGTGCATTGGATTCCCGGGTTGTATGTGACAAGGAGTAGGGTAACCTGTCCAACCTCGTAGGTTTTCTCTGGGTCACCAGGTCTCCTCCAATTGCTAAAGATCCCTGAACAGAAGTGAATTATTGAAATAAATTGAACCATATGTTAGTCCCGAAATGACCTATAATAGATGTTGAAACAATTCTATTTCAGAAATGCCGCGTACTGAGACGGAATGGGAAGATAGTTTTACGTTTAAAATGTTTCTGTTTCAATTCATCAATCATTATTCATCTATATTTTATATCGCATTCTTCAAGGGCAGGTAAATAGGGTTTTATTTTATATCACGTTCTTCAAGGGCAGGTAAATAGGGTTTTATTTTATATCGCGTTCTTCAAGGGCAGGTAAATAGGTTTTTTGGGGTTTTTTTTTATTAAACATACATTATGCAAGAGCGAAATCTGCCTATTGCAGGTCTTTCTTTAGGCCTGAAATGTTATATAAGCTATTAATTAGCCATAATCAACTCTCAATGCCATCTGATGGGAACAATTATAAACAGATTTGAAGCTGATCTGTGAGTCAACAGCTGCTTGTGATTAACCGTAGAACTGGATAATAGAGACTATGTTCATTATTGGAACAACGGTAACAATGACAATCAAGGCTACATTTTTTTGAAATTCTGTTTTTCAGCCAAGAGTAAATTCGAATACTGTCAGCTCATAACGCCGCTTTAATTAAATGACATACATCATTACTATCATTTGATAGATTATTAAACATACATTATGTAAAAGCTAAATCTGCCTATTGCAGATCTTTCCTTAGGCCTGAAATGTTATCTAAATTATTAATTAGACATTATTTAACTTATCCAGACCATAATTAACTCTCGATGGCATCGCTAGTCTGCAATATTTATTGGATAAGGTTCCGATTTGCTGTTCGACTTCCATTCATAATTAAATCAAAAAATTGATAATCGAGACTATGTTTTTTATCCTACCGACTTTAGTAATGATGATCGAGGCTAGCCCCAATACTCAATCGGTAAGTGGATTAATTTGACTGACATTTTCAGCAAATTCCCTTTACATTATCTAGTTTTCAACTATTATAGTGCGAACTGCCAGCTCTTTATCTAATCTCCCATAATGTATCTTTAATCCTTGAAAACTACAACATTGCGGAAGTTGAATCTCTAAAAATGGTCGGCTATTTACAAAGATTTGATGAATTAAAAATTGTGCTACTTTCGGCATTCTCTACTGACCAAATTTTGGCAGAATTTGCTTGTTTTTCTCCTTTTGATTATTTTTCTTGTCTATAAAGCTCGTCAACCTTTCTTTGAAGTTGTACTTCTGATATAAGAAAGACTGTGCCACCTTAGTATTGGGTAAAATCGCCTGTGTCACTTAAAGATACATTATGTAAGATTTAGATAAAGAGCTAGCCATTCTTGCTATACTAGTTCAAAAATAGATAATGTAAAAAGAATAATTTGAAAATTTCATTCCAATTACTCTATTGCAAGCGAAGATATTAGCCTTTGAAGGCTTGACAAGACGTGTAATAATTTCAACCACCGTACTGGTTGTTCGAAGCTAAGTCTCGCTTCTCCATTTTAAGATTAAATCAAAATATGGCTGAACTGTTCTAATCTATTTAATATCGGAGAAATCTGATGCTAAATCAAAATATGGCTGAAATGTTCTAATCTATTTAATATCAGAGAAATCTGATGCTATCGACAGTTGATTGTGTCCTGGATAAGTTAATTAATGTCTAATTAATAATTTAGATAACATTTCAGGCCTAAAGAAAGACCTGCAATAGGCAAATTTAGCTCTTGCATAATGTATGTTATGGGTAAAATCTTTAGATGGTCTCTTTTTAATTGAATAAACAATTTCAGTACATCTCAGCTTGCATGAAGTTATTAAAAATTACATCTTGTCCGAAAATATGAACAATGAACTGTAAAATCGGTTAGTTTTGATATTTTATTGGTTCTGTATTTTAGATTTATTGGCCGTCCTGGTGCCTATAACAGACAGATCAATTTCACCAGACAGGAAGAGGTAAACTTTAATTTTAAATGGAGAATAGAGAATTTTTGATATAATGACCTCCAGAACCAGCCTGATCTCCTCCCCAGCTAGCCTGATCTCCTCCCTAACCAGCCCAATCTCCCCCCCCAACCAGCCTGATCTGCTCCCCAACTAGCCTAATCTCCTCCCCAGCCAGCCTGATCTCCTCCTCAACCAGCCTGATCTCATCCCCAACCAACCCGATCTCATCCCCAACCAGATCTAATCCCCAACCAACCTGAACTCCTCCCCGACCAACCTGAACTCCTCCCCAACCATTCCCATCTCCTCCCCAACCAACCATTCCCATCTCCTCCCCAACCAATCTGATCTCCTCCCCAACCAACCTGAACTCCTCCCCGACCAACCTGAACTCCTCCCCAACCATTCCCATCTCCTCCCGAACCAATCTGATCTCCTCCCCAACCAACCTGAACTCCTCCCCAACCATGCCCATCTCCTCCCCAACCAATCTGATCCCCTCCCCAACCAATCGATCTCCTCCCCAACCAACCCGAACGCCTCCCCAACCAGCCCAATCTCCTCCCCAACCACCACAATCTCCACCCCAACCAGCTCAATCTCCTCCCCAACTAGCCTGAACTCCTCTCCAACCAGCCTGATCTCCTCCCAACCAACCCGATCTCCTCCCAACCAACCTGATCTCCACCCCAACCAGCCTGATCTAATCCCCAACCAACCTGATCTCCTCCCCAACCAGCCAGATCTCATCTCTCCTCCCCAACCAGTCTGAAAATAGACATCGCCAATCTTAAAACATGTCATTCTTTTTATCATTGCTGTTATAAGAGGATGGGGGAAACCTCAGGTTTTTTTTGGTTTCTCTGATCGCCTTGGTTTTGTATATTTTTAGTGTGACCCAGCTGACTGTCTGATTGAGTTATGTTTTTGTATATTTTTAGTGTGATTGAGTTATGTATTTGTATATTTTTAGTGTGACCCAGCTGGCTGTCTGATTGAGTTATGTATTCAACTGGGTATAGTTATGGTTGGTAAACAAACGTTTAACAATTTCAAGGAAATCATTTTACCGTGAGTTCATTATTATTATCCTGATTGGTATTGGCAACTTTTCATTGATTGAGTTAAAATTAAATTAAATGAAATGGGGTTCAGTGTCCTACTGTTCTGCTCCAACTGGGCAAATGAGGTCTGGCATATGCCATTCAGTGTACTATGAGAGAAACTTTGCCCATACAGCGGCACTACAGACTACTTTCTCTGATTTCAAATTCTTTTTTTTGTCCCATCCGAACGACTATACGTTGTCCCTCGCGACGCCCTTGGTCCTAGCAAATCGCCTGAAGCCCAATTATCGATGACCTAAAACATTCAAGGGGTTATGCTGGTTAATTTGATAACACATATGAGGGGGTGGATCGTGGTGATGGGCGAACACACACCCACCCCCACGCACACACACCCACACAAACACACACACACACACCCATTCATCCAAACATCTTTGATGTTATTCATTTAGATGAAATTAAAATGGAGGAATGTATTTAGAGGGTATTGTTCGAACATTAACATGGAAACCCTATTATCCAGACAAAATTGCCCTCATACCACATGGTGTGACACTGCTATCCAGACCACTTGGCATGACACTGCTATCCAGATCATCTGGCGTGACACTGCTATCCAGATCACCTGGCTGACATGTGTCCGATTACAGCTAATTAAATATTTATCTTTTGTTTCCAGTAAAGTTATGAATTGGTTTAAAACTCGTAATGTACCAAAAGAAGAGAAACAAACTTTACCACGATGGGAAGATGATTATAATTTAGCCCAGATGAATAAACTTGGATTATTCGATGAATATCTTGAAATGGGTAAGTCTCTTGTGTTTGTCATTCTACCAGAGGCGGATCAAGGCTCTGATGGGCCCTAGGCAGCTCGATCAGCTGGGCTCTTTGTGGAAGTGGTTTGCCGTTTTAAAATGAAAGCGAAACCGAATGCCAGGCTAATGCAAAGTGAGTGAGTGACCAGTCTCCCAGTTGGAGTGATCGATTACGCTAAAACTCATCTCAAGCACTATGGTGTCACAGACCGTGTGGGCTTCTTCCCTAAGAGTGAACGTCCGACACAACCAAGTGAGGTTCGTCAAATTTAAAAAGGTCGCCAAAAATTTTATGGGCTCTAACCTACACTGCCTATGGGGTAACCATCTAAAGAAAGAGAGAGAGAGAGAGAGAGAGTTTAACTCCACTCGACACAAACTAGGTCATTTTGGGACTAATATATGGTTTAATTTTACTTCAACAACTCGCCTGCGTGTAGGGGTCCTTAGCAGTGGGAGGAAACCGGAGGACCCGGAGAAAACCCACGAGGTTGGACAGGCACGTACAACCTGGGATTCGAAACCACGCCAGTTGACTCAATGACAGGCCTTATGATACAGCGCGCACACATGGTAACCATTCGGCCAGTTTTTTTCTGTGTCCCCAGGTTTCCTCCAACTGCTAAGGACCCCTGGGTGGGTGTAGAAAGGTAGAAATGAAATGAAATAAGGTTTAACGTCCTACTGTTCTGCTCCGAACTGGGCTAATGAAGGCGGGCATAGACCATACAGTGTGCTACAAGGTAAAATAAATGAAATGAAATGGAGTTTAACATCCCACTGTTTTGCTCCTATACTGGGCTAATGAAGATGGGCATATGCCATACTGTGTGCTATAGGGAAATTTTGCCCGGATAGCAGCACTAAGGCCTACTTTTATATCGAATTCCAACTGTCAAGGGATCTTTTACGTGCACGCCAATGTAACATTAAACAACATTTAATTTTATTTTGTTGTCGCTGATCCTTAACAATAAAGATGGTGGGTGGATATTATTTGTTAATCGGGAACTCTTCTGGTTTTTTTTAAGAATATCATAATTCCATTTCAGTCAATATATTTATATATATTTTCAGTTATCCAGTTCGGTTTTGTGACTATTTTTGTGTCTGCGTTCCCATTGGCTCCGCTGTTTGCACTACTGAACAACGTTATAGAAGTACGATTGGATGCTTACAAGTTTGTCACGCAGTGGAGACGACCGTTAGCTGTTCGAGGTCAAGATATCGGTATTTGGTTTGGTATATTGCGTGGTATATCTACAATAGCTGTCATGTCTAATGTAAGTAAATCACCAAGTAATCGCTTTCATGTCTGAGGAATAATGTATATTCGTTCGAATGGGATGAAAAATGGTGCGCACGTGAAAGAACCCTTGACAGTTGGGTTGATGTCGTCAAACAATGCCCTACTCTCCGGTCCACCATGGTTTCTCTGATTGGTTAAAAGTTTGTCAGCCATATTGTCATCAAAGAAGTATGTATGTCTGTATGTTCACCCATCCTGCTTCATTGCTGCGATCCACCCCCCATAAATGTGGTAGAAAATTAACTAGCATGACCCTGTGAAAACAAATATGGGGCCTGGGCGATTATGGGCCTCTGTCGAATTTGGGCTCGGGTAAAACCGGGTATACTGTTAGTATAGTCAAGTAGCTAACACATTACAGCTAACAATTTTCAGCAGTTATTAATTAGACATTAATTAACTTATCCTGATGCTGACGTAATTAACTCTCGATAGTCGCTAGTCTGCGATGTTTATTGGATTAGGTTCCTGTTTCCTGTTCGAATTCCATTCATAATTTAATCATTAAATGGATTATTGAGACTATGTTTTTATCCTACCAACTTTAGTAATGATCATCGAGACTAGGCCGACGAAAATTCAATCGCTAAAATCTTGGTTCAGAGTGGATCAATTTGTCTGACAGTTTCAGCAAATTTCCTCTACATTATCTAGTTTGTAACTATTATAGTGAGAACTGCCAGCTCTTTATCTAATCTCCCATAATGTATCTTTAAAAAACGAACGTTTTGAACAACCGATCCCTTGCCTTTAAGTGTAGTTTAATGGTCGAGAGCGTCTTAAAATCGAGACCATTAAACAACTTTAATACAGACACTCACACATGTTTTGCAATGGAATACGTCACAAGGGTCCAGAATATTAACTAGTATAAATAATGTACGCTTGGCACATTGCCCATACAATAATGTATCTTTGAACAAAGCTAACAATTTAGAGATTTATAGCTACCTAAATTTACGTTATTGATTCCATTTGGACCAATTATTTTTATGCCATTTCAGGCGTGTATTATTGGATTTACTACAGAATTTATTCCCAAATTGGTGTACGTTTATGGCTACAGTAAAAATCAAACTCTCACTGGTTATGTGGACTTTAGTTTGTCAACTTTTAACGTGAGCCAATTTGAACCGGAAAGTCTACCAGCCAATAATAAATCAGATGTTTTCGGGGTTGTTACCAATTGCAGGTATATTCTACATTCTATTTCATGTTGGAGGGTGGAAATATAAGCCAATTTTTTCTCTCTTTCTTGTTTCGGTCTTGGGTTTGGTTTGACAGTTTAGACCATAAGGTCTAGTAGACCTCTACCTGCGAGCAAAATGGTTTAATTTTATTTCAATAATTTGCTTGCACATAGAGGTCTTTAGTAGTAGAAGGAAACCCGGAGGACCCAGAGAAAACCCACAAGGTTGGACAGGCGACCCTACTCCTTGTCACATACAACCAGGGAATCAAAACCCCGCCAGTTGACTCAAAGACAGACGGTATGATACAGCGCGCACATGCTAACCATTCGGCCATCCAACACCCCTCAAAATATTGAGATAAATGTGTACCATATGTTAGTCCTGAAATGACCTAGTTTGTATTTTATTTATATTTAAAACCTATGTTTTGATGTCAGTTCCACCAGGAAACTTTTTGCTCACTATCAAATATCTTCAATTATTATTATAATTTTAATTGGAGTGGACTAGTGCTTTAACGCGTGCAGGTGGAAATCACTATCAAATAACTTCAGTTATTATTATAAAATTAATTGGGGTGGGAGATGGTTGGATGGCCTAGTGGTTTAACGCATGCACCTGGAATCACAAGGTCTTTCATTAAGTCAAGTGACATGGATTTGATTCCAGTTACCTCCCACTGATAAAGGTTACCTGTCTAACCTCGTGGGTTTTCTCCGAGTGCCCCAGTTACCTCCCACTGATAAAAGTTACCTGTCTAACCTTGTGGGTTTTTTGTCCGAGTGCCCCAGTTACTCACACTGATAAAGGTTACCTGTCTAACCTCGTGGGTTTTCTCCGGATGCCCCAGTTACCTCCCACTGATAAAGGTCACCTGTCTAACCTCGTGGCTCTTCTCCTATAGCTAAAGACCCCAATGCGCAAGGAAATTATTGGAACATATTCGAATCATATATGTGTCCCGAAATGACCTAGTCTCTCTCTCTGTCCCAAATTTTAATTATTATAATAATAATAATAATAATAGAGATAAATTTTGCACTGTTGCGCGCAGAGGGGGGGGGGGGGACGTAACGAAATCCCGGACCGAAAATCCATTATTGGTGGCATACAATCAAAGAGTTGACTTCGGGCATCACCCAACCTTGGCATGCCACTGATTCAGCATTATTTAAATCAAACATTAAAATTAAACATGTTTTTAAAATTAATTTGTTTTTGCAGATACCGCGATTTCCGAAGCAGTGAACTTAATAAATACAACCTTCAATTCTGGCATGTACTTACAGCTCGACTTGCCTTTGTTATTGCTTTTATTGTAAGTATTATGTAATGTAATAGTAAGAACAAGACTACCGTACTACATGCAAAACAAAATCGACAAGACAAACCAGCGGACAAGACTAATTACACTGACAAAAGAAATAAACAACATACATCAAATCAAGTGAACAGATCCGGGAGCCAGCGGTAATCGTTCACTGCACTGAAGGGGTGTGTGGACTGAGTGAATGAATCCAGGGCCACTGCACTGTTCAAGGGAGGCTCTTGTCAGC